TCTTTAGGGCTTCCCCCTACCTCTCCAGCATGTCCCACAAGCACACCTTATTGCCTGTGCCAGCTCTGGGACATCATGTCACAGAGAGGTCATTGCACCGGCCACACTCCAAGAAAGTCGTGCTCCATAGGGACTAAAGATGCCTTCTCACCATCCAGATGCTGAAAGCTAACTGGAATTGGCAACAGAAAAACATGCTTCAGGGGAAAAAAAAAAAATCCCGCTCTCAAAGAATTAGTAGAGGGGTAGGAAGCCCCAATCTGTCTTTTCCTCTTTAATTGACAGTGAGAATGTCAGATGTAATACAAGATGTGATCATCACTCATCATCTTGTCCCTCATGTAGGCAAGTACTAAGGAGGGGAAGACATCACCCCTCCACCTCCCAGTTTTTATTCCCAACTTCAGTAACGTATCTTTAATATTTCCCTGATTCACTTCTGATGAGTCACAACCTGTATTTTTTTTCCTTTAGCCACTTTCTATCATTGTCAAACGTTCTGCCTTAGTAGGAACTTCAAGATTCAGAAGAGGAAGTACAAAGCATAAAATACTTTTTTTAACATTCGGCTAAATCTAATGAGAAATAAGCATTTGTTTTTTAAAAGAATAGTAACCCTAGAAGTGCCAAGACCTGATCAACTCCTGCACGAGCACATTGTACCATCCTTTTACACACAGTGTGATTACAATTTCTTCAAGGATTTTCCCTTTGATTTGCAAGCCTCAACAAGATTATCTTAAAAATAAACACCCACCTTTTCCATGTCATCCCAGTTAGTGATGATTCCACGCTCAATTGGGTAATTCAGCATCAGGATCCCTCTTTTACTTTGTGCTTCATCCCCTACATAGTTGTCTTTCTGACCCATTCCAACCATAACACCCTGAAAAGTATATTATTCTAATCTTAGTGCAGTATCTCACGCATATTAGAGACAGACTATCATTTTTAAGTTAAAACTCCACGTGACTACCTGCTACTGCCGTTCCAGAACACACCCCCAAAATGTGCAAGGAACTAAAATGTGAATTTATCAGTAACCACCTGTGTACTAACATCCTCTGTCAACCCACCAGAAGAGCAAGGCAGCTCCAAAAAGGACAGTATGTCACACCTGGTGCAAACTCATGGTTCTCCACAAGGGATGGGTCCTTTGTCATTGCACAAAGCAATGAAGGGAAGGAATTATAGATGAAAAAGGTATAATCTCTTCTTGGTTCCCTAAACTTTATACATGTGGTTGAACTTTATGTCTATGTTCCACTGTTGCCTTTAAACAGTGACATTATTCCTCCTTGCTGCAGGTGAAATAAGTTTTCAAAATATACATTTGGAAAAAAACATTGATTTACATAAAACAGAGATTTTATAAAAGAAAACTCACTTATGAAAATAAGATTTTATTAAGTTTATCATGTATGCATTATGAAGCCTATCATGATTGCCTCAAATAATGTAACAACATACGAGGTACAATATTATTCATCAACTGGCATAAAAATATTTAATTTTTCTTCTGGATATGTTCTAATTGCAGGGATTCAATAATACAGCTGCTGAGCTGTGCAAAATTACATGCTCACTCTAATCACAAATAAAAGCCAATGACCAATTTGGGATGTCAAAGAACGCACGTGTTTTCAACCGCTAATATTCAACAATTCATGGAGGTGCTCACAATGCATTCCTTAAAATGCTTACTATTTTATGACTGTCAAACCAGGCACGTTTATCTGACCAAAGGAACACACAGAACTTCAGGGAAGCATTCTTACAGTCCAGAAAATTAAAATCTGACTCAGATATGAAGAAAATGAACAAAAATCTGTATCTTGTATTTATAAAAGAACTGTTAGGAAACAAATGAAGCAGAAAGACTGTTTCCTAGGTCAAGAAAAGCCAGGTTTATCCTTTCTAGACTTGATAAAGTGATGTGCTAGAAACCTACTTTGGAAGTTTTTTGGGCCATACTGTTGCTTAATGTAACTAGAAAGGGGGGGGGGCCTGGATTTCACCAAGACTTCTGCTTCAGATCCTTCAATTATTTTTAGGACTCTACAATTGCCTCTTTAGGCAGTCGAGGAGCGGGAAGGATTTTGTTTTTCCTTCTTGGGCAACTTCACTCGGTAAGGAAGGGTATTCCAGCTCTAATATAGGAACGTTTAGCCATCAGTTCTAGTAGCTGGTATTTTTGAACATTCATTTATGTTGCCATGAATGGTTATTTTCTTCTAAAATTCTCAGGAAAAGGCTTTTAGAATGCAATAAACCAACCATTTCCCAGCAGTATCCAACATTAGGGAACTGTACCCAGACTCCACCACTGTAAAACAGAAGGAAACTGAATTCTTAAATACATCAAAAATGAGATCAGATGAGAGATTAGAATTTAAGAGCAGAGAATTTTAAAGTAGAGAAACATACCTTGGCTCTACAGAAGGCTGGATAGGAAGAAGACGTTTAATCCTTCATGGTGAGAAATAATATTCCCATTCATGCACAGACACAGCATTTCATAGAGACCTCAACACGTAAAACTGGGGTTGGTGCAGTGTTGGAGACAAAATACACACGAAAACCCCAGCTGATCTTTACAAGTTACACTCTGAAGTGCTGGCAGCAACCGGTTATGCTTTTACTCATGATTGATGAGATTCCAGAGAAGCCACTGACACTCCCCAATAAAAATCAATCCCTGAATTTTGTTAATCTCCTATTAAAAAAAAAAATATTCCCTTGCTTTGCTTATCATTAATTAATTACAAGGTGAATGAACTAAGAGCACTGCTTAGAACTGTCATTGATTGAGTCATGTTATTGCTTTATATCTGAATTTATAGGTTTAAAATAATAATTTTCACAAAGCAGCTACTTGGAAATCTTTTCACCAGATGAAGTTTCTCAATACATTTCCTAAATTTGCCAGATTTCAATTTTTTTTTTCTCTAATTCTCAGTGCAAGATTAAATACAATAAGCACTTCTTTTTGGTCTCTGCATAAGGCCTGCTGCTGAGACAGCAAACACTACTGACATGTTCTTCCAGACTTCAGGTAGACTAAGAAGGTTTGATCACACACTACTGATCCTTCCAGTGATGGGGGAGGTCTGCACATTTCCTTGCATCCACGCAGTCAAACCTGAATTACCTTAAGCCAGGAGACCCTCTGGAATTCCTTCAAAGCCTGAGGCAAACAGCATCCAAGTCCAAGCAAGTGTGTAAATCTCCAAAAGATCTCAGACCGAGTGAAGCGAAGCATTAAAATCATGAACTGGAATATGAAAAAAAAACCTCTCAGGGCAATACTTACACAGGGAACAGCGATGATTTGTAAAAGTCTTTTTGTAAATGACATGACCTCATCTTCCATTACATTTATACCAGCTTCTGGAATGATGTTCACAGAATATCTACATGTGTCAAGCCATTTTTGGAAACTACTTTTTTCTACTACTTTTTTCCTTCCAGTTTGTGTTTATTGCAGGGGCAGCACAAAGGCCTGGATAAATTAGGGCAGAATTTCTAACCCCTCTGGTTCCTTTCCCACTCACCAACCTGTGACACCTCGTGACAGAGGATTGTTTCCTCCCCTGATGACAAAAACCCCTCGCACTGGATGAGTAAGGATTTGTGGGTCCACTGTTGTCATTGCCTTCTGCTTCCTTATAACACAATTAGCTAAGAATAGCTCGTTATCATTCTGTTAACAGCCATCTTCAAGCTGGAAAGGGAAAAGTCTTACCACATACAATACTCATGTTTCAACTGTACTTGTTGTTTATTTGAAGGGCGCAAAGACTGAAAACAGCCAACTTATCTCAGGACTTGGGTGACACGACGGCTGAAAAGAGGGACTGAATCAGCCACCAGCCATTCAAAGGAGGAGAAAACCAAAACCAGATATCAAATATTGGGTTTCTATAGAAATCTAGACCTGTACTAGACTAAGAAATATTAAAGAACCATCGAAAGAAGAAAGTTTACAGGATTTACCTACAGGGGTAACTTAACTACGGCTGGCTGTATTTCCCATCCCAGCTGACAAACACAAGCCATGCAGAAAGTCAGACAAAATTTGGTAAACGTTGACTCTGCAAACGTAAATGCCAACCAGCCCCTCTTTCTAACCCATCATGTGACTGCGCGGCAAACCTCACATCCAAGAATCCTTCGACCTTAAGCAGGTAATTCCCTTCACTAAAATCTCTCCAAAGACAACCTTGTGTCTGCCACCAGTAAATCTGATGGAATCCTTCCATTTCCATTCTCATTTCTGTGTCTATATGTCAACTCCTTCAGACTTGCCTTGCTTGGACTGTATCCCCATTTCATACAGATGTGAGCCCAAACGCAGACAGAACAAACACCAACAAACAACAATAGAGACTTCAAAAACAACCTTCCAGCAGCCAGAGTCTTCACAAATGGGCTGTTTTTTGACTCAGAAAATAGTTGTGCAGTTTCAGAGAACAATGTAACAGAACATGGATGTATTAATATGCAACCCATAACACTCTATTACGTGTCTACAGGAATGGAATGCAAATCTCTGCTTCTTAGAGCCTCTTAGTTGAAAATGCACCCTTTATTCATTTGTATCTTGAAGGCCAAGTATGTAAAATATGTAAGGTTAGGGCTTTATAAGCTTGAATTTCACATGTTGAGCAGCTGAGGAACATTTTGCCCCAAAGATATGCAGTAACTAAACCCACCAAGACAAAAAGTGCAAGTGAATGAAAAAAAGAAATCAAATGAAAAACCACAAGAAAAGCTACAGAAATTGCACCTTTAAACAACAGTAATGGAATATAAGAAGCTGAAGACATTTCTTCATGTCATCTCAATTCTGAATCTTTAATCATCACCTTACCTCATTACCATATACATATCCACACACCTTGGCAGAGCAAGTGTATGTATACAGACCGTATGGCCAAAGAACAACCTTCTTATATCTTTTATTTTTAGCCAGGAAAAAATAAAAATAAAATCAAAAATCCAGTAGTCCTTTCTTTATTGCACTCTATAAAACCTCTTGTCATAATCAAGAAGTCAATAAACAGTAATAGCTGATTATTCCTTTAAAATTTATAGTTTAACTCTTAAAATAAAATTTATATAGAAAAGATATCATTTACAACCCATTCAGTAGTAATCAATCATTATGTACTCACAAACAATATTAAATAACTTGTATGCAGCAGTTTCTGTATAGGGCGAACAGAGGGGAATATTTTCTCCTTAGCAAATATAATATTCCACTGATAAAGAGCAATTCAAGTCAACTTTGGAACAACTGTGATATACACAAATTTCTTTGAAGAAGCGTAAGATTCATGTAGTGTAACAAGAATATATATATACAACTGTGTCCAGTGCATAGCTTAACAGCAGCATGTGAAAAGTCTATCATCTTGGATTGGCACACCATTACCTACAGAGAAATAATTTACCCAGAAAATGCAGTGTATTCAGAGAACACCCGTGAGGCACAGTAAAACAACAAGATGTAGTGTCACTAGGTAGGTGAGGAATAAATAGCGGGATTTCGCTCTGGAGGTCAGCAGCTTAGAACAGTAAAGGCTTCGCCCTCGAACCCATCTTCTGAAGGAAAGGGCTCCTCCTTTCATCTGCTCAGGAAACAAAAAACATCAAATAAGTAATCATGAATACAGAGGAGAAGAAGTACCTCTGTATCTTAGGTTTCTGAGGCACCATACAACTTTTGCCTCTGATGCAGCAACGGATGCCACAGCACAAGCTCTAAACATAAATGATTTAAAGGCCAAAGAGAACAGCATTTAATAAGGGGAGAGAAAAGGATACATAATACATAATAATCTTGTAATTCCATAACTGCATAATTATATCCCTACATACTTTATTTAATGGCCACATGTGCAATATACATACCATTACTCACATTTTCATTTGGACAGATGCAATGTGCTACATGATATGGTTTTACACAGCTGCCTGTGTTTAACTCACTATTCACAACCCAAACAGAAAGAAATTCAGGACAGTTTTTCAGGAAAAGTGTAGTTTCAGTAGTAGCTTGTGATTTTGAGTGGACACCCCTATAGTCCACCTGTCCCCACGATATCTAACACACCAAGAGTGCTTCACAGTCAGCTTTTCAGAGACAAGGCTGATTAGACAAGTATCATATAAAGAGGACAACCCAAAACCAGTGACTCCCAGTCACTCAGAAGGGAAATCCACACTCCAAGAATTAATGGCAGCTGAGAGAAAGGTATAGCAGAGGGAAGACAGGAAAAAGAGCAGCAGCATGAAGAAGATCATGAGCTGTGGTGTCTTCAGTTCAGTCTGCAAGTAGCAGTATACAATATGCACGACACTTTGAAGTAACTCATAATTCAGGGGTTTTTAAAAGGTTTCTTTGACTTACCTTTCGCACAATAACATGTTCACTGGGATTGATGATTAAGGCTTCTCTTTCCTCCTCAGTCTCCATCTGAACAGTGTATTCACTAGGTACAGACCTGTAACTGCTTACTTCAAATCTGAAATGAAAAGGAGACAGTGGAGTACTGAATTATCTGCCCTAGTTCACATAAGAAACATTATTTTGTATACATTACTGGTGGGACATCCTCACGAAAAGCAATTAAACTTAGTTTGTGTTTCCAGGTTTTTTTCCCACCTGCAATCTCCTCTCAAGGTGTTTCATTTATTCAGAATAACCCCCATCACCACTAGCTGATTGAATAGAAAACTTAGTTTGCTTTGCCAGGTTTTTTTTCCACCTCTGTTTGCAATCTACTCTCAAGGTGTTTCATTTATTCAGAATAACCCCCATCACCACTAGCTGATTGAATAGTTTCAGATGATGGTAATGATGGACACTTTATTTAGGCAGATGGATAATGGCATTTTAAATCTAAACAGTGTCTGTACTAAAGGTGTTATATGTGAGATAATTTTTTTTTAAGTTGGAAAAAAAGAAATACCACTCACTACTGATTCCAAAATCCGAAGCAAGAAATTAAATAAAGAAAAACACATGAGATTTTTTTTTTTAAGTTGGAAAAAAAGAAATACCACTCACTACTGATTCCAAAACCTGAAGCATGAAATTAAATAAAGAAAAACAAAACCAAACCCCATAACATTTTCTTGATCCATAGAGCTAGACCTAGCTTTTTAACACAGTTACACTCCGAAGCAAGAAATTAAATAAAGAAAAACAAAACCAAAACCAAACCCCATAACATTTTCTTCATCCATAAAGCTAGACCTAGCTTTTTAACACAGTTACACATGCATTTTTGTTGCTTCAGGCATCGTGGACTCACAAAGAGGTTCTATTTTTTGTTTGTTCTATTTGTTCTATTATTTGCTCAGGAATCCAACACCCATAGGAAAAGCTATCACTGATCTCACTAAACATAAAAGGCAACCAAAAAACCTGCTGTTCTGGTTTCCAGCTCTCTAGTACATGTTGCATTTACTCCAGGCAGAGTGTAAATGAAAATCTCAGCAGCCATTTGTCCAAGGGGAAGCAGAAGGGCAAGATGGCTTTGTCTCTCTGAACGTGCAAGTTATTTCATAGCCACACAAGGGTTTAATGCAGCAATCTCACCCTCACATACCTCAAAAGTGTAAGAAAAAGAAACACTGTTTTACAGACACTTTTCTTTGAAAAGAAAAAAACCCACGTTTTACAGAGAGGAGCATTTTACCTGTTACTCTGCTCCTCAGAGAGTCCAAGAGCCTCTTCTGCAGCTTCTCTCCTCCTCTTTTCTTCTGACAGTGTCTCTGTCAGCTGTGAGAGTGCCTGCTGCACTGATTCGTACTGTTGCTCGCTCTCTGCAAGCCTACGACACAATGAAACCTGAAATCAGTATTTCATGTACTTAAAAGAACTACTTTCTTGCTCTTTTTCATGAAATAAAGTTCTTTTTTGTGATACCTAATTATAATTAGATGCTTTAGATTAGGTATTGAATTAAGAAGCCACCAGTAAGTATTGATCTTTACTAAAACAAACCAAAAATGCTACCAGATAATAACAACTCAAGAATATGACTATGATTCACTTAATCCACTGTAAATCCACTTCTCTCCCTTCCCCCCCCAAATGCCTTAGAGGGATAGAAAAGCATTACTTTCGCACTTACAACACAGCTGTCAGGAAAACAATATTGCTAATACATGCTCTCAAATCCTGACCTTTTCCTGAGTTCATTTAGCTCCATATTGTCTATTTCGACCATAACTGCAGACCTTTCCTGCGGCGCTCCAGGGGGAACTTCTGCTCTAGTTTCAGCCTAGAAAATATTAAAGGGGGGTAAGAAAAAAAAAGCCAGTCACCATTTTTCTAGTCGCTAAAAATCTTTATTTTAATTAAAGCCATAAGCACCATAAAGCAGTGGAAAACAACCACTCTTTGTGCCATTTAATATTTTCATTTAATTTTCAGTTATTCTTTTGTATTTTAGTTTACAGTTCTCCTTGTATGTGCTAATTTCTGTTTAGGGAAGAGTAAGAGTTGCTTTATATTTGTATCCATATGATAGTTTAGGGTATTATATTAATTAATTGTTACTGAATAACCAAACCAGTATAGGAAAGCTTTTGAAAAATTAAGAGATCACAAAGGCATAAGCTTACAGATGTGTATGAGGGGTTGGCAGAGGGTACTGAAACTCCAACACCTTGCAAAATGATTCATGACTGCTGTGGAATTATCACTAAACTTTGCTGATCCAACAATTAGTGATCATCCAATTACCTCTGCCAGCTGCAGATCAATTCAAGATGATACTTCAAAACCGAAAAAAGCATGTAAAAAGCTTCCTTAAATGGAAAGTCAAATAAAACTAGCTTTGCAACAATAGACAGTTATCTGCAGCTAACAAAAGTACCAAATCAGTACAACAAAAAGTATTCACTTCATTTTTAGAACAAAACTCAAAAAAGGGTAAGCACAGAGAAAAAAAAAAAAACTCAGCTTTACAACAATAAAGACAGTTCTCTGCAGTGCATCATGAGCCAACAAAAGTACCGAATCAGTACAACAAAAAGTATTTACTTCATTTTTAGAACAAAAATCAAAAAAGTGTAAGCACAGAGAAAAAAAAAAAAACTAAAAACACTTCCATAGAATAGTTTACCTGAACAGTGCCTTGGAAAGATGTTACTTGCATGGTCTGATATTCCCTCTCTAGTCTTAAATACCGATTTTGCAAGTCAGTGTAACGAAGCTGGTTATCCCTTAGAGTCTGTGAAAGAGTCTTCAACTGGGCAGACAAGACAGCATTCTCTTCTGCTGACTGCACAACCTGAAAAAAAATAACATTTAAATAAATAAACATTAGGAATTATCTCCTCTGGGAAATTACTACAGATTTGAGACCCTGATGTTGAAAACCGAGCACTAGTTTCAAAATTGCATCAACAAAGCCGCTGAGGGGCCTGGAGAACAAGTCTTATGAGGTGAGGCTGAGGGAGTTGGGGGTGTTCAGCCTGGAGAAAAGGAGGCTGAGGGGAGACCTTCTCACTCTCTACAACTCCCTGAAAGGAGGGTGTAGAGAGGTGGGGTCTTCTCCCAAGGAACAAGTGGTAAGATGAGAGGAAATGGCCTCAGGTTGCATAGGATATCATGTTGATACCAGCTGACCTTCTCATGAGCTATTGAGGATCACAACTGTTGTTTGAAGTTACCTTTGAATTAATCTGCTGAAAATACAGATCCTTCTGTTGTATCTCCTGAAGGCAGCGCTGCAGGTCATTCTGAAGCTGATTCTTCTCAGCTAAAACACGTTTGATGTCCTCCGGCACGTCTGCACTTCCAGCGAGGGAGACAGTTTCCAAAACCTTTAAAAGCATTAGCATATTCAGTGTAAATGGTATAGGAGTTTTCTAAATAATATAGAACTCCAACACTAAATATACATACAGACCACATAATAATTTCACTTCCTTCTCAAATACTACCCCTGCAAGAGACTTTATATTTTCTAAAAAATCTAAGAAAAAAAAATCTTCTACTTAGCGTTTTCAACCCTACTTCAATTACAAAGGAAAATCAAAAATTACCATGGAAAGGCAACCCAACTTAATCTTTAATTTGCAAATAGTTTGAAGCACAAAAAAAATGGGAAAACCAGAAAAATCCAGATGAATATAAAACACCTTTCAAAAATTATTTTCAAACTAATAATGTATAGTATTCATGACTTGTACAACAGCTATTTTGTAAATATGAATTTAAAACTCAAAGTCCATTTTGGAGAAAAAAACTTAACACCCAACTTTATGACTAATTCACAGCTTTGGCTTTTTTTATCGCTGAAGGGTCAACATTTTGTTGTTAATCTCCAATAACGGAGGGAAATGGGCTATCTCTAATGCTTTATGGTATCTAACTTCCTATACAATCATGAAATAGTTACTTCTACCCCATTAAATATTATATAACCCAAGATACATTACTGTTCAATAGATTGTGTTTGTGATTTTAATCACAGAAAACGAACAGCATATGAGACACAAACTTGACCAACTAAAATGTTGTTTTTAATGGCACAGAAAAGGCAAATAAGAATATTCTAAAATAACACTTTCCTCAAACCTTTAATGGCAGTAGAGAGCGATTGCCAGACTGGGTCTCAGCTGCTGCCTTTCTAAATCTAGTATTTTGTTCCTGGCAGAAGCCAGCTCCAGCTGCTTCAGGGGAAGGATACGAACACTTCCATTAGGCACATCTCTCCCTTCTTTGCCCAGTTAGGTCCTACTCTAATCTGCAGTAATTAGGGCTCAGTTTAGGCTCTGATGAATGAACTTTATTAGATTTTTAAAATTTCTTAGCATCAAGTATACAAATTCTGAATACTACTGTTGTAATGCAAACTACATAGTCCTTTTCTGATCCTCTTAAAAACTGTGTCCCTGGAAACAGGTTGTAGCTATAACGTGCCTGAAAAACTGTTTGCATTGCCTGAAAGAGCACATCCTTTTACTAGCTTTGTATTTATCACCAAATGTCCCCTATCTTAGCTGTACAAGTGAGAGTGTAGAGTCTCCTTTCACTTACATCCCACAGTACTATTAGGGTTTGGGTTCCCCCCCCACCGCCTTTATTTATTTCTTAAGCAAACAATCCCAACCTCTTCTGAATTTTCTTCCCAGAAGCAGGCTGCACATTTCCTACGGTGAACTGATGGAATTAGATTTGTGCCTCCTGCTACACCTCATTTGTTTACCTTGGGTGGGTAATTGCTGCCAGCAGAGACTGATTTCTTAACAACCATGTCCTGTTGCAGCTTCTGTAGCTCCGCAATCTGCCGGTCCTTCTCAGCAACTGTGATTTGACACTGATTTCGTAGCGCCTGGGACTCCGAGAGGAGGAGGTTGTTTTCCATTCTGAACATAAAACAGTAGGACTAGACATTAAATGAGAGCACACTACATTCTACTGAATGAAAAGGATAAACCTGTACTCAATTATTTCTGAAATAAGTAACGGTACTGTTTGAACGGTTATATGCAAATATAGAGCACTGTATGAACATCCTCAATATATACTTCAGTTTAAAGACATCTACTAAAGTTTGGGGGGGAAAAATGGAAGAAGTTATTCATGCTGTTCACTGGTCTACAAGTTAGAATGAGGTCTGAATATTTTATCCTAACTTGCTCACATTTGCAAAAAATAAATGGCCTTTTGACCTACACCCCCTCCCCCAAAAGCTTCTAGTATAAGATATTACCTTACTCAGACTTTAATTAGGGATCTAGAAAGTACACTACAGACAATAAAATGCAGTAAGGCACTAGGATCCTGCCTACTGGCCTCAAATTCAGACAACATTATCTTCACCAAACTGATCATCGCATCTTTCACACTTCAATCATCTGCACACGTTTAAAAACCTGAAGAACAGCAGTTTAAGACGACCAAATCTTGATCTGCCTCCACTGAATGCCACTTAAAATTGCCCATTCCTTCTCTAAAGCAGACCTTATGAGGCATTCACAGAATTAGGCTCAAAGTGTCACATTATTTGCTTGTTGCAGATGATGCACGATGTGAACAATGCTGAAATGGACTCTTGAATCTACAAAAATAATGCTCAAATGTGAAATGACGTTAATTTTTAATATGTAGTTGGGCCAAAGACACAACACCTCAGACATCTTCTAAAAAAAGAGATTTTGGGAAAACATTCAGCCATATCAATCATTACTCTAAGAAGAAAATATACTCCCAAACACTGAAATAAATCTTAAATAGTAGGTCCATGTATCCAAGTCACCAACAGAACAGAAAAAAATCACTTAATACTGTTTGAAACTTTACATAAACAAAGAGACCATTAAATAAAGACAGAAGGATAACCACGAACAAAGACAACTCTGTGGAAGTTAATTTCACACATCACAAAAATATTCTTATCCTACCTCCTGCTACATAATCTTGGGTTTGTGTCAGTTTTAGGTCAGGTTGTGAAGTCACTGAAGAACTCTAAACAAGAGTCACACGTACTGTTTGTTAATTCTAAAATATATACCTTAATCCAGCAAGCTCATTCTGGTACGATGCAATCTCTCTCTCAGTTTCTGCTTGGAAGGCTTTTGTCTGCTGCAACGCCTTCTCCAAATCATCAACCTTGGTCTTCAGTTTTGATATTTCAACAGCTGCAAGGCTGGCTCCTTCTTTAGCCTACGTTTAGTAAACATGGTTAGTGAACTATACGATTGAAGTCTATAAAAACTGTATGATCGAAGTTTTATTAGTGCTAGAATTCTAATTACAGAATAATGTTTTACCTCCATTTGCTCCTATTTAACAGGATAATTACCTAAATTTCCAAAATTGTCATGCCTTCCCTAGTGAAACAATGCTTTCTTTGCACTCACATAATTTACAAAGTTAAACTTCAGAATCCATAATGTTTCTAAGTATTCTCTACATAAAAAAAATAAATTACAAAGTGATGTAGCTAATTAAAACTTACCAATCTTCCCCTATTGTTCTTAGGCATATCCAAACTACTTTTAAAAGAATTCATCTCATTGATACTGTTGCAATGAATGGGAAATGAAGCTGTGCCCTGTTTTGTTTCAGAAGTTACCTTCTGATTGCTGAGCTCCTGCAGCAATTTGTCTCGGTCATCCTGAAGACTGGCCATAGCCTTGGAAAAAGCTTCAATCTGGTGACCATAATTCCCACACTCAGATGAGAGCCTGCTAATCTCCATCTCACGACTGACTAACGTCCTACAGAGCTTTTCAATTCCATCAGCAATCTGATCAAGTGTAACCTTATCTGCAGCATCAAGAATAACCCGACTGAGAAGAGAATTTTCTTTGAGCGTACTGATAAGATGTGATTTAAAGCCATCCAATTCAGCCTCAAGTTCATCTCCTTTCTTTCTTTCAGTCTTGAGTTCAGCTGTGTATTTGCTCTGAAGTACCTTGAAGTCCTCTATTATCCTGTCTCTGTCGTTTTGCAGAGCAGTCATTGCTTTCCCAAAGGCCTCGTTTTGGGACCTCAGTTCATTATTTTGAGACTGAACTTCTAGTAACATCTTCTCAGGTTCATCTCCATGTTGAAGCGTCAAAAGAGTCTTACTGTATTCCTCATCTGCATCCTTAGTATTTCTGCCTCTTGATTTCTGGAGTTCGTGAATCTTCTTCTGCAGATTTTCTCCAAACTGCCCATTGGATACACTTTCCTTTTTCTGAACACTATCACTAGTCAGCAGCTTCTCTCCAGATTCAGAAACAAGTTTCTCTCTGTTTAAGGATGCAATTAAAGACTCTAAATCATTTATTTTAGACACTAATTTTTTATTTTCATGTTCCAAAGACTCAGCAGTGTCCTTCTGCAATTGATTGGAAAACTGCACTTCTTTTATTTGCTTTTGAAGGTCATATTTTTCTTGCTCGAGGCTTTTAATACAATCCAATTTCTGCTTAAGTAAGTCTTTCAGCTGATGGTCTTTCAGAGATAGAACTTGGTTAAGATCTTCCCTGTACTTTATCAGCTGTGCACTTAGCATCGCGTTTTCCGAATGGAGATCATCTATCTGATTGAGAAGTGTCCTTATTTCTTGCTTCAAAGCATTATTCTCACTGGCATTGCCAACTATAAGACTGTCCCGCTGATTTAAGACATCTTGGTGAAGATGTTCCAGTTCTTTGTATTTAGAAAAAAGATCATCCCGATCATTCTGAAGAGACGACATGGATTTTTTAAAGGCATCTATTTCACTGGCAATTGCAGCCTTATCTTGACCTGCTTTTTCCGCTTTCAGCTGGAGGTTTCTCAATTCTTTTTCCATCCTCTGACAGGACTCCTCAGATCGTTCTTTCTCTGTCTGCAAAGACCTTAACTGAAGTTCATACTCTTCGATTTGTTTTTTATGTTGAGTCTGTACCTGAATCAGATAGTCGGAAATTTCATCACCTTTTGAAGAAATGAGTAAGGAAATCTCTTCGTCTTTATTATTTAGCATGATCTTCATTTGCTCGGAAATGGTGATCTGCTTCTGCAATTCAGCATTGACTTTTTCCTTCTCAGCTAGAAGCTGTTGCAATTCTTGTTCTTGTCTTGTAAAACTACTTTCCAGAGCTTTTATCTCTCTTCCTGCACTTTTACTATTCTCTATGAGATGATTAAGAGAATTATTTTCCTTAAGGAGTGCTTGCAAAGCTTCTTCTTTGGACTGAAGCACGCTCTCCAATTCTTGCTGCCTGTTAAAAAAAAACGTATTTTCTTCCTTTATTCTGCAGAGCTCTTCATACCGTTGTAGATCAACAGATTTTTGCCTCAAATACAGTTCATCCTTTGTTTCCTCTACCACTGAATATTTGATATTCAGTTCTTGAATCTGAGTAATTTTTTCCTTCAATTCCTCCTGTAGAGACATTATTCTTTTATTGCTGTCTTCTATCTGTTTCTCTTTACTTTGGATGGCCTCTTTGAACTGCATTTCCCAGGTTTTCATTTCAGTGACTACCCTGTCCCGGTCATCCTGAAGAGAGGACACACACTTTGTGAAAGCAGCTAATCGTGCCAAAGCCGCATTCAAATCTGCTTGAATTTTCTTGTTTTGGGAGTCCTTAATGCCAACTTCCTCTTGCAAACCACGAATCTCACTAATTGCCCTGTCTTTTTCTCTCTCAAGGGCACCGTGTCTTTCCTCTAGGTTCAAAATTTCTCTTTGGTGAACCAATTTCAATTGTTGAAGATTAAATTCCAATTGCCTCTCATATTCTCGCTTTCGAAGTTGTAGTTCCTCTTCTTTCTTCTTAAGTTCTTTTCTCCAATTTAGATTCTCCTCTGTAAGCCTTACCACTTCACTCTTTGAATGTTCCAACAAGTTTATCTGTGAATAAAGCTCCCCCTTGAGGGGACAGATTTCTCACCTTGGCAGAGCAAGTGTATGTATACAGACCGTATGGCCAAAGAACAACCTTCTTATATCTTTTATTTTTAGCCAGGAAAAAATAAAAATAAAATCAAAAATCCAGTAGTCCTTTCTTTATTGCACTCTATAAAACCTCTTGTCATAATCAAGAAGTCAATAAACAGTAATAGCTGATTATTCCTTTAAAATTTATAGTTTAACTCTTAAAATAAAATTTATATAGAAAAGATATCATTTACAACCCATTCAGTAGTAATCAATCATTATGTACTCACAAACAATATTAAATAACTTGTATGCAGCAGTTTCTGTATAGGGCGAACAGAGGGGAATATTTTCTCCTTAGCAAATATAATATTCCACTGATAAAGAGCAATTCAAGTCAACTTTGGAACAACTGTGATATACACAAATTTCTTTGAAGAAGCGTAAGATTCATGTAGTGTAACAAGAATATATATATACAACTGTGTCCAGTGCATAGCTTAACAGCAGCATGTGAAAAGTCTATCATCTTGGATTGGCACACCATTACCTACAGAGAAATAATTTACCCAGAAAATGCAGTGTATTCAGAGAACACCCGTGAGGCACAGTAAAACAACAAGATGTAGTGTCACTAGGTAGGTGAGGAATAAATAGCGGGATTTCGCTCTGGAGGTCAGCAGCTTAGAACAGTAAAGGCTTCGCCCTCGAACCCATCTTCTGAAGGAAAGGGCTCCTCCTTTCATCTGCTCAGGAAACAAAAAACATCAAATAAGTAATCATGAATACAGAGGAGAAGAAGTACCTCTGTATCTTAGGTTTCTGAGGCACCATACAACTTTTGCCTCTGATGCAGCAACGGATGCCACAGCACAAGCTCTAAACATAAATGATTTAAAGGCCAAAGAGAACAGCATTTAATAAGGGGAGAGAAAAGGATACATAATACATAATAATCTTGTAATTCCATAACTGCATAATTATATCCCTACATACTTTATTTAATGGCCACATGTGCAATATACATACCATTACTCACATTTTCATTTGGACAGATGCAATGTGCTACATGATATGGTTTTACACAGCTGCCTGTGTTTAACTCACTATTCACAACCCAAACAGAAAGAAATTCAGGACAGTTTTTCAGGAAAAGTGTAGTTTCAGTAGTAGCTTGTGATTTTGAGTGGACACCCCTATAGTCCACCTGTCCCCATGATATCTAACACACCAAGAGTGCTTCACAGTCAGCTTTCCAGAGACAAGACCATTTAGACAAGTATCATATAAAGAGGACAACCCAAAACCAGTGACTCCCAGTCACTCAGAAGGGAAATCCACACTCCAAGAATTAATGGCAGCTGAGAGAAAGGTATAGCAGAGGGAAGACAGGAAAAAGAGCAGCAGCATGAAGAAGATCATGAGCTGTGGTGTCTTCAATTCAGTCTGCAAGTAGCAGTATACAATATGCACGACACTTTGAAGTAACTCATAATTCAGGGGTTTTTAAAAGGTTTCTTTGACTTACCTTTCGCACAATAACATGTTCACTGGGATTGATGATTAAGGCTTCTCTTTCCTCCTCAGTCTCCATCTGAACAGTGTATTCACTAGGTACAGACCTGTAACTGCTTACTTCAAATCTGAAATGAAAAGGAGACAACGGAGTACTGAATTATCTGCCCTAGTTCACATAAGAAACATTATTTTGTATACATTACTGGTGGGACATCCTCACGAAAAGCAATTAAACTTAGTTTGTGTTTCCAGGTTTTTTTCCCACCTGCAATCTCCTCTCAAGGTGTTTCATTTATTCAGAATAACCCCCATCACCACTAGCTGATTGAATAGTTTCAGATGATGGTAATGATGGACACTTTATTTAGGCAGATGGATAATGGCATTTTAAATCTAAACAGTGTCTGTACTAAAGGTGTTATACATGAGATTTTTTTTTTTAAGTTGGAAAAAAAGAAATACCACTCACTACTGATTCCAAAATCCGAAGCAAGAAATTAAATAAAGAAAAACAAAACCAAAACCAAACCCCATAACATTTTCTTCATCCATAAAGCTAGACCTAGCTTTTTAACACAGTTACACATGCATTTTTGTTGCTTCAGGCATTGTGGACTCACAAAGAGGTTCTATTTTTTGTTTGTTCTATTTGTTCTATTATTTGCTCAGGAATCCAACACCCATAGGAAAAGCTATCACTGATCTCACTAAACATAAAAGGCAACCAAAAAACCTGCTGTTCTGGTTTCCAGCTCTCTAGTACATGTTGCATTTACTCCAGGCAGAGTGTAAATGAAAATCTCAGCAGCCATTTGTCCAAGGGGAAGCAGAAGGGCAAGATGGCTTTGTCTCTCTGAACATGCAAGTTATTTCATAGCCACACAAGGGTTTAATGCAGCAATCTCACCCTCACATACCTCAAAAGTGTAAGAAAAAGAAACACTGTTTTACAGACACTTTTCTTTGAAAAGAAAAAAACCCACGTTTTACAGAGAGGAGCATTTTACCTGTTACTCTGCTCCTCAGAGAGTCCAAGAGCCTCTTCTGCAGCTTCTCTCCTCCTCTTTTCTTCTGACAGTGTCTCTGTCAGCTGTGAGAGTGCCTGCTGCACTGATTCGTACTGTTGCTCGCTCTCTGCAAGCCTATGACAGAATGAAACCTGAAATCAGTATTTCACATACTTAAAAGAACTGCTTTCTTGCTCTTTTTCATGAAATAAAGTTCTTTTTTGTGATACCTAATTATAATTAGATGCTTTAGATTAGGCATTGAAATAAGAAGCCACCAGTAAGTATTGATCTTTACTAAAACAAACCAAAAATGCTACCAGATAATAACAACTCAAGAATATGACTATGATTCACTTAATCCACTGTAAATCCACTTCTCTCCCTTCCCCCCCCAAATGCCTTAGAGGGATAGAAAAGCATTACTTTCGCACTTACAACACAGCTGTCAGGAAAACAATATTGCTAATACATGCTCTCAAATCCTGACCTTTTCCTGAGTTCATTTAGCTCCATATTGTCTATTTCGACCATAACTGCAGACCTTTCCTGCGGCGCTCCAGGGGGAACTTCTGCTCTAGTTTCAGCCTAGAAAATATTAAAGGGGGGTAAGAAAAAAAAAGCCAGTCACCATTTTTCTAGTCGCTAAAAATCTTTATTTTAATTAAAGCCATAAGCACCATAAAGCAGTGGAAAACAACCACTCTTTGTGCCATTTAATATTTTCATTTAATTTTCAGTTATTCTTTTGTATTTTAGTTTACAGTTCTCCTTGTATGTGCTAATTTCTGTTTAGGGAAGAGTAAGAGTTGCTTTATATATGTATCCATATGATAGTTTAGGGTATTATATTAATTAATTGTTACTGAATAACCAAACCAGTATAGGAAAGCTTTTGAAAAATTAAGAGATCACAAAGGCATAAGCTTACAGATGTGTATGAGGGGTTGGCAGAGGGTACTGAAACTCCAACACCTTGCAAAATGATTCATGACTGCTGTGGAATTATCACTAAACTTTGCTGATCCAACAATTAGTGATCATCCAATTACCTCTGCCAGCTGCAGATCAATTCAAGATGATACTTCAAAACCGAAAAAAGCATGTAAAAAGCTTCCTTAAATGGAAAGTCAAATAAAACTAGCTTTGCAACAATAGACAGTTATCTGCAGCTAACAAAAGTACCAAATCAGTACAACAAAAAGTATTCACTTCATTTTTAGAACAAAACTCAAAAAAGGGTAAGCACAGAGAAAAAAAAAAAAACTAAAAACACTTCCATAGAATAGTTTACCTGAACAGTGCCTTGGAAAGATGTTACTTGCATGGTCTGATATTCCCTCTCTAGTCTTAAATACCGATTTTGCAAGTCAGTGTAACGAAGCTGGTTATCCCTTAGAGTCTGTGAAAGAGTCTTCAACTGGGCAGACAAGACAGCATTCTCTTCTGCTGACTGCACAACCTGAAAAAAAATAACATTTAAATAAATAAACATTAGGAATTATCTCCTCTGGGAAATTACTACAGATTTGAGACCCTGATGTTGAAAACCGAGCACTAGTTTCAAAATTGCATCAACAAAGCCGCTGAGGGGCCTGGAGAACAAGTCTTATGAGGTGAGGCTGAGGGAGTTGGGGGTGTTCAGCCTGGAGAAAAGGAGGCTGAGGGGAGACCTTCTCACTCTCTACAACTCCCTGAAAGGAGGGTGTAGAGAGGTGGGGTCTTCTCCCAAGGAACAAGTGGTAAGATGAGAGGAAATGGCCTCAGGTTGCATAGGATATCATGTTGATACCAGCTGACCTTCTCATGAGCTATTGAGGATCACAACTGTTGTTTGAAGTTACCTTTGAATTAATCTGCTGAAAATACAGATCCTTCTGTTGTATCTCCTGAAGGCAGCGCTGCAGGTCATTCTGAAGCTGATTCTTCTCAGCTAAAACACGTTTGATGTCCTCCGGCACGTCTGCACTTCCAGCGAGGGAGACAGTTTCCAAAACCTTTAAAAGCATTAGCATATTCAGTGTAAATGGTATAGGAGTTTTCTAAATAATATAGAACTCCAACACTAAATATACATACAGACCACATAATAATTTCACTTCCTTCTCAAATACTACCCCTGCAAGAGACTTTATATTTTCTAAAAAATCTAAGAAAAAAAAATCTTCTACTTAGCGTTTTCAACCCTACTTCAATTACAAAGGAAAATCAAAAATTACCATGGAAAGGCAACCCAACTTAATCTTTAATTTGCAAATAGTTTGAAGCACAAAAAAAATGGGAAAACCAGAAAAATCCAGATGAATATAAAACACCTTTCAAAAACTATTTTCAAACTAATATGTATAGTATTCATGACTTGTAAAACAGCTATTTTGTAAATATGAATTTAAAGCTCAAAGTCCATTTTTGGGGAAAAAACCTAACACCCAACTTTATGACTAATTCACAGCTTTGGCTTTTTTTATCGCTGAAGGGTCAACATTTTGTTGTTAATCTCCAATAACGGAGGGAAATGGGCTATCTCTAATGCTTTATGGTATCTAACTTCCTATACAATCATGAAATAGTTACTTCTACCCCATTAAATATTATATAACCCAAGATACATTACTGTTCAATAGATTGTGTTTGTGATTTTAATCACAGAAAACGAACAGCATATGAGACACAAACTTGACCAACTAAAATGTTGTTTTTAATGGCACAGAAAAGGCAAATAAGAATATTATTCTAAAATAACACTTTCCTCAAACCTTTAATGGCAGTAGACAGCAATTGCCAGACTGGGTCTCAGCTGCTGCCTTTCTAAATCTAGTATTTTGTTCCTGGCAGAAGCCAGCTCCAGCTGCTTCAGGGGAAGGATACGAACACTTCCATTAGGCACATCTCTCCCTTCTTCCCCTGGTTAGGTCCCACTCTAATCTGCAGTAATTAGGGATCGGTTTAGGCTCTGATGAATGAACTTTATTAGATCTTCAAAATTTGTTAGCATCAAGTATACAAATTCTGAATACTACTGTTGTAATGCAAACTACATAGTCCTTTTCTGATCCTCTTAAAAACTGTGTCCCTGGAAACAGGTTGTAGCTATAACGTGTCTGAAAACCTGTTTGCATTGCCTGAAAGAGCACATCCTTTTACTAGCTTTGTATTTATCACCAAATGTCCCCTGTCTTAGCTTTACAAGTGAGAGTGTAGAGTCTCCTTTCACTTACATCCCACAGTACTATTAGGGTTTGGGTTCCCCCCCCCATCGCCTTTATTTATTTCTTAAGCAAACAATCCCAGCCTCTTCTGAATTTTCTTCCCAGAAGCAGGCTGCACATTTCCTACGGTGAACTGATGGAATTAGATTTGTGCCTCCTGCTACACCTCATTTGTTTACCTTGGGTGGGTAATTGCTGCCAGCAGAGACTGATTTCTTAACAACCATGTCCTGTTGCAGCTTCTGTAGCTCCGCAATCTGCCGGTCCTTCTCAGCAACTGTGATTTGACACTGATTTCGTAGCGCCTGGGACTCCGAGAGGAGGAGGTTGTTTTCCATTCTGAACATAAAACAGTAGGACTAGACATTAAATGAGAACACACTACATTCTACTGAATGAAAAGGATAAACCTGTACTCAATGATTTCTGAAATAAGTAATGGTACTGTTTGAACGGTTATATGCAAATATAGAGTACTGTATGAACATCCTCAATATATACTTCAGTTTAAAGACATCTTAAAGTTTGGGGGGAAAAAATGGAAGAAGCTATTCATGCTGTTCACTGGTCTACAAGTTAGAGTGAGGTTTGAATATTTTATCCTAACTTGCTCACATTTGCAAAAAATAAATGGCCTTTTGACCTACACCCCCTCCCCCAAAAGCTTCTAGTATAAGATATTACCTTACTCAGACTTTAATTAGGGATCTAGAAAGTACACTACAGACAATAAAATGCAGTAAGGCACTAGGATCCTGCCTACTGGCCTCAAATTCAGACAACATTATCTTCACCAAACTGATCATCGCATCTTTCACACTTCAATCATCTGCACACGTTTAAAAACCTGAAGAACAGCAGTTTAAGACGACCAAATCTTGATCTGCCTCCACTGAATGCCACTTAAAATTGCCCATTCCTTCTCTAAAGCAGACCTTATGAGGCATTCACAGAATTAGGCTCAAAGTGTCACATTATTTGCTTGTTGCAGATGATGCACGATGTGAACAGTGCTGAAATGGACTCTTGAATCTACAAAAATAATGCTCAAATGTGAAATGACGTTAATTTTTAATATGTAGTTGGGCCAAAGACACAACACCTCAGACATCTTCTAAAAAAAGAGATTTTGGGAAAACATTCAGCCATATCAATCATTACTCTAAGAAGAAAATATACTCCCAAACACTGAAATAAATCTTAAATAGTAGGTCCATGTATCCAAGTCACCAACAGAACAGAAAAAAATCACTTAATACTGTTTGAAACTTTACATAAACAAAGAGACCATTAAATAAAGACAGAAGGATAACCACGAACAAAGACAACTCTGTGGAAGTTAATTTCACACATCACAAAAATATTCTTATCCTACCTCCTGCTACATAATCTTGGCGAAGTTGATTTCACACCACAAAAATATTCTTATCCTACCTCCTGCTACATAATCTTGGGTTTGTGTCAGTTTTAGGTCAGGTTGTGAAGTCACTGAAGAACTCTAAACAAGAGTCACACGTACTGTTTGTTAATTCTAAAATATATACCTTAATCCAGCAAGCTCATTCTGGTACGATGCAATCTCTCTCTCAGTTTCTGCTTGGAAGGCTTTTGTCTGCTGCAACGCCTTCTCCAAATCATCAACCTTGGTCTTCAGTTTTGATATTTCAACAGCTGCAAGGCTGGCTCCTTCTTTAGCCTACGTTTAGTAAACATGGTTAGTGAACTATACGATTGAAGTCTATAAAAACTGTATGATCGAAGTTTTATTAGTGCTAGAATTCTAATTACAGAATAATGTTTTACCTCCATTTGCTCCTATTTAACAGGATAATTACCTAAATTTCCAAAATTGTCATGCCTTCCCTAGTGAAACAATGCTTTCTTTGCACTCACATAATTTACAAAGTTAAACTTCAGAATCCATAATGTTTCTAAGTATTCTCTACATAAAAAAAATAAATTACAAAGTGATGTAGCTAATTAAAACTTACCAATCTTCCCCTATTGTTCTTAGGCATATCCAAACTACTTTTAAAAGAATTCATCTCATTGATACTGTTGCAATGAATGGGAAATGAAGCTGTGCCCTGTTTTGTTTCAGAAGTTACCTTCTGATTGCTGAGCTCCTGCAGCAATTTGTCTCGGTCATCCTGAAGACTGGCCATAGCCTTGGAAAAAGCTTCAATCTGGTGACCATAATTCCCACACTCAGATGAGAGCCTGCTAATCTCCATCTCACGACTGACTAACGTCCTACAGAGCTTTTCAATTCCATCAGCAATCTGATCAAGTGTAACCTTATCTGCAGCATCAAGAATAACCCGACTGAGAAGAGAATTTTCTTTGAGCGTACTGATAAGATGTGATTTAAAGCCATCCAATTCAGCCTCAAGTTCATCTCCTTTCTTTCTTTCAGTCTTGAGTTCAGCTGTGTATTTGCTCTGAAGTACCTTGAAGTCCTCTATTATCCTGTCTCTGTCGTTTTGCAGAGCAGTCATTGCTTTCCCAAAGGCCTCGTTTTGGGACCTCAGTTCATTATTTTGAGACTGAACTTCTAGTAACATCTTCTCAGGTTCATCTCCATGTTGAAGCGTCAAAAGAGTCTTACTGTATTCCTCATCTGCATCCTTAGTATTTCTGCCTCTTGATTTCTGGAGTTCGTGAATCTTCTTCTGCAGATTTTCTCCAAACTGCCCATTGGATACACTTTCCTTTTTCTGAACACTATCACTAGTCAGCAGCTTCTCTCCAGATTCAGAAACAAGTTTCTCTCTGTTTAAGGATGCAATTAAAGACTCTAAATCATTTATTTTAGACACTAATTTTTTATTTTCATGTTCCAAAGACTCAGCAGTGTCCTTCTGCAATTGATTGGAAAACTGCACTTCTTTTATTTGCTTTTGAAGGTCATATTTTTCTTGCTCGAGGCTTTTAATACAATCCAATTTCTGCTTAAGTAAGTCTTTCAGCTGATGGTCTTTCAGAGATAGAACTTGGTTAAGATCTTCCCTGTACTTTATCAGCTGTGCACTTAGCATTGCGTTTTCTGAATGGAGATCATCTATCTGATTGAGAAGCGTCCTTATTTCTTGCTTCAAAGCATTATTCTCACTGGCATTGCCAACTATAAGACTGTCCCGCTGATTTAAGACATCTTGGTGAAGATGTTCCAGTTCTTTGTATTTAGAAAAAAGATCATCCCGATCATTCTGAAGAGACGACATGGATTTTTTAAAGGCATCTATTTCACTGGCAATTGCAGCCTTATCTTGACCTGCTTTTTCCGCTTTCAGCTGGAGGTTTCTCAATTCTTTTTCCATCCTCTGACAGGACTCCTCAGATCGTTCTTTCTCTGTCTGCAAAGACCTTAACTGAAGTTCATACTCTTCGATTTGTTTTTTATGTTGAGTCTGTACCTGAATCAGATAGTCGGAAATTTCATCACCTTTTGAAGAAATGAGTAAGGAAATCTCTTCGTCTTTATTATTTAGCATGATCTTCATTTGCTCGGAAATGGTGATCTGCTTCTGCAATTCAGCATTGACTTTTTCCTTCTCAGCTAGAAGCTGTTGCAATTCTTGTTCTTGTCTTGTAAAACTACTTTCCAGAGCTTTTATCTCTCTTCCTGCACTTTTACTATTCTCTATGAGATGATTAAGAGAATTATTTTCCTTAAGGAGTGCTTGCAAAGCTTCTTCTTTGGACTGAAGCACGCTCTCCAATTCTTGCTGCCTGTTAAAAAAAAACGTATTTTCTTCCTTTATTCTGCAGAGCTCTTCATACCGTTGTAGATCAACAGATTTTTGCCTCAAATACAGTTCATCCTTTGTTTCCTCTACCACTGAATATTTGATATTCAGTTCTTGAATCTGAGTAATTTTTTCCTTCAATTCCTCCTGTAGAGACATTATTCTTTTATTGCTGTCTTCTATCTGTTTCTCTTTACTTTGGATGGCCTCTTTGAACTGCATTTCCCAGGTTTTCATTTCAGTGACTACCCTGTCCCGGTCATCCTGAAGAGAGGACACACACTTTGTGAAAGCGGCTAATCGTGCCAAAGCCGCATTCAAATCTGCTTGAATTTTCTTGTTTTGGGAGTCCTTAATGCCAACTTCCTCTTGCAAACCACGAATCTCACTAATTGCCCTGTCTTTTTCTCTCTCAAGGGCACCGTGTCTTTCCTCTAGGTTCAAAATTTCTCTTTGGTGAACCAATTTCAATTGTTGAAGATTAAATTCCAATTGCCTCTCATATTCTCGCTTTCGAAGTTGTAGTTCCTCTTCTTTCTTCTTAAGTTCTTTTCTCCAATTTAGATTCTCCTCTGTAAGCCTGACCACTTCACTCTTTGACTGATCCAACAAGTTCATCTGTGAAGAAAGCTCACCCTTGAGGTGACAGATTTCTTCCTTTGATTTTGCATGCTTTTCTGAAGCATTACTTAAGTCTTTTTCGAGTTTTTCACTTTTTGCCTGCGACAGTTTCACAGATCTTTCCAAATCCAGGATCAGCTCCTGGAACTTTATCGAATCCTTTTGCAATTGGTTGATCTCCTGCTGTTTCTCCTTTAAGAGTTCTTGCAATTCTTTCGTTTTGTTTTTACTTCCATTATTATCCCTCTGAGCACTTTTCACCTTCTCCTCAAACACTTTTACAAGGTGTAACTGCTGCTCTTCTTTTTCTCTAATCACATTACATTTTTCTGCCTTTAATTCTTCCAGTTGCTGTAACAGCAAGTTATTCTGTACCTGTGCTGATTTCATTCTATCAGTAAGATGATCAACTTTTTTAACATGATTAAGCAATTCCGTCTCAAGAAACTCTCTCTCATTCTTTACTTTGTAAGAACTTTCTTGTACATTTTCTAATTCTTCCTGTAACAGACATTTATCATCCTCTAATATCTTAACTTTTTCATTTAGACTAACAATTTCCTGTGTCAGACTCTTACATTCCATGTCCAGCTTTGTTAGACAATGGTTTTTATGGTCCAAGGATTTTTCAATTTCTTTTGCTTTTTCTGAAATTAATTTTCTTTCTTCTTCTAGGACAAGCACATCTTGCTCTTTTTCAGAGAGTTTATCCTTTAACAGATTAATATCCTGTAACAATGATTCATTCTTATATAATGCATCATTGATTTTAGATTGCATATCATTTTGGTACACCTCCATTTGAACCTGGAGCTCTCCCAAAGCTGCTTTAGTTACAGTGATGTCATTATGAAGGATATCATTTTCATTCTGGATTTTCTCTAAAGCCTGCTTTAAGTTTTCAGAAGTTTGTTTCAGCTGCTCATTCTCCTCCATTAGCTGATGATTCTGATCAGTGAGTTCACAAAGACGATCCTGGTGTTCTTGCATCCTTGCCTCTTGCTCACGGATCTGCCTCTCTGCTTTACTTTGTAATTCGTCAACTTCCATTTTCTTGGATTCGCCCAGTTGTTTCAGTTGATTCTTAACAACCTCATTTTCATCCATGAGCTTTTGTAAACGCTGCCCAAGAGCCTCCTTCTCAGATTCTCTTTCCCTGAGCCTTTGAATGGCCTCTTGCTTCTCTTTTCTAGTGAGATCAATAACTTGCCTCATCTCTGCTATTTTACTACTGATATTCTCATAAGCCTGAAGAAGCGATTCATACTCCTGCTTTAATTCACTATGTTTAGCCTTCCATCCTGTCAATTCAACTGTCTGAGAATCTTTTAAGGTATTTAGTTGGAAAGAAAAGGCCTCTTTTTCCTGAACTATAGTCTCCATGGTGGATTTAAGACTTTCACATGCCGCAGTGAGGTTTTCATTCTCAGTCAACAGTCTGGCATTTTCAGAAACAAGGCGCTCCTCTTCAGACAGTGGAGAAACAGCACTTGAACTTTGGTTTTCTCTCCCAAGCTCCAACAAGTGTTCAAGCATACCTGTCTTGTTCACCAGTTCTTCTCTTTCCAACATGAGCTTATCAATCTGGTCTTTTAGGCATTTATTTTCTCTCAGGGCTTCTTTGCGCGATATTAAAGCCGCCTGTAATTTTCTTTGAAGGCGCTCTCTGGACTTCTCTTCTGCTACAGTTCTTTGCTCTTGTGGTTTAGAATCATTTATATTTGCAGATTTTGCCAGCGGTTCTTCAATCATTTGCCTTTGTTTCTGGATTTGACATTCTGTTTTCCCAGAGTAATCAGCCTCTGATAGTTGAGAAGAGGTGCCTTTACCTTCTAACTCTCCTTGAAAGGAATTACTTTCCGAACAACACTCTCCCAATTCTTTTTCAGTATCATTTTCTTCCTTAAGCTCTTTGCGTGACACCACAGGTCTACTCATCTCAACCTTCTCACGTAGCATACATAGCTCTGCCAGAAGTTTTTTGTTTTCTTCACTGAAATGTTCTACCTCCTTTTTCATATCAATTAGTTCCAAATTGGACTTTTCTAAACAACCAAAAAGTTTCTCTTTTTCATCCTTCATTTCTTCAAATGCTGTTTTGTAATGGTAGGCTTCTTCTTGGCCTTCCTTTATAGCTTTATTTAATAATTCCTTTTCCAGATCAAGTTTAACTTTGAAATCCGTAAGCGAACAATGCAACGCTTCTATTTCCTCATTCTTTTCTGCAACCTCCTTCTTCGCTTCAGTTCTCAATCTCTGCAGTTTCTCCTGGTTCACCTTGTAATCCTCTTCACTTTTTTTAAGAAGTGCTTCTTTCTCATTACTTACACATTCAAGCGCCGTCTTAATCTCTACAGCTTCAGCCTCATATGCTTTCAGCCTTTTCTGTAGCTGCTTTATGACCTCCAACAAGCTGCCCGTATCCTGATACTCCTCCTGCTGTCTCAAAGAGTCTACGCTGACTGTTTCTGGTCTTTCATCACCAAATTCAACTGATATCTTCCTCAACTCTTTCTTTAACATTTCTGTCTCCTCCTGAAGTTTTGCATAATTACTTCTTAGTTCTCTTAACTCAGTGTCTTTACTTTCCGCTGAAGCGATCACGTTTTCTGACTCTTTTAAGGATGCATCCTGAACCTTGCTTCTTGCTTTGTCCGATTCCAAATTCCTTAGGTCAGCTGCTTCTTCTGCTGGCACTGCCTTAGGTAAAGCCAGCTCTTTCCCTAAGGGATACTCTTCTAACTGATTGAAGTCAAGTTCTTTACATTTTGTTTGAAGAACTTCCCAGAGTGCTTTATGTTCTTGTTTCAGCTGCTCAAGGTAGTTTTTTTGTTCATTGAAATCTGCTGCGAGTTTAGCGTGTTTTTCCCTTTCTTTCTGAAATTCTTTCATATCTTCTTCCCTGACCAAAAGCTCCCTCTGTAAGGCCTCTTTCTCTTCTTTTAATTGATTCAAGACATTAATGTTATTTTCCTCTAAAGATTTTAGGTTCTGCTCACATGTTTTTTCTTTTTCAGCAATGACATCATTTAGCTTTGTAATATTGTCCTGAAGTTCCTCTAAATAAGAAGCTTTTGAAGACAAAATTTCAGTCAAATTACTTATTTTGGCATCTTTTTCTAGAAGTTGTTGCTTCAAAGTTCCAAGATGAGACTCAAAATCTTTATTTTGTACTTCAACTAGTTTCAGCTTGTCTGTTAACTCATTAACTTTCCTCAACAGCTCCTCTGCTTTTTTTTGCTCTTTTTCTATTTCTTCCTGCCCGCTCTTTTCTAGTTTTCCAACTTTTTGCATTAGATCTCTTCTTACTATCAACGCTGCTTGAAGTTTCTTTTTCAGATTTTCTTTTTCCTTACCCATTTTCTCAAGATTAAACTGCATCTCCTCTTTTTCATTCATTAAATCCTTAAACACAGCTTCTCTACTGCTTAACGTAACCTGACTGTGTTCCAGTTCTTTCTTACAATCCTCAAGTTCCTGCAATACTCGGTTTAGCTCTTCTATGGAACTATTATGAACAGCTTCAAGGTCTTGCAGTTTGGTATTTAACGTATTTCTCTCTTCGGAAAAATTCAGCATTTCGTTAGACAATGATTCCATGATCTGGGTAACAGAACAGTCCTTCTCTTTCAGTTGCTGGCTTAGACCAGAAATTAACTCCTTCTGCTGATTTACCTGGGAAGTTAAGTTTTCAATGAGTTGATCTTTTTTTCCTGTTTCTTCAAGGAGACTTGCTACTTTTTTACCTTCAAAGTGCAGTTTCTCTTGACTGGTTCTTACTAATTCTTCTGATTCACTTATCTTGTTTTGAAGAAATTCAACCTGCTTATTTAGTTCTGCAAAAGACTCTTCCCTTTCTTGCAAGAGAGACTGTTGTTTACACAATGTTTCCTTGACTGTGACCATTTCTTTTGACAGACATTCAATTTCAGATTGATACTTGCCCTTCATTTTTTCAATATCATTCTGCAGCAACTCCTTCTCCCTCTCAAGTGACTGCACACTCTTTAATTCATCTTTCACAGCATCTATTTCTTTCTGTTTCTCTAAAAGCACCAGTTGCAATTGTTCTCTTTCTGTTTCTTTGCTCAAAATAGTGGTTACAAGAGTGGAGAATTTTTCCAACTGAATTTTACTATCGGTTAGCTGCAGTTCAGAATCTGAAGTCTGTGCCTCCTTTTCTTTACATAAAAGCCTGCTACTAAGTAATGGAGATAAGCTTTGAGTTAATTCCTCTTTTATAAGATCCAGCTCTTGCTGCAAAGACTGGATTTTGCTATCCTTTGATTTCATTTCACTTTCTAAACTGCTCAATTGCTCAGTAAGTTTATCATTTTGTAAAGTTGCCCTATCGAGTTCTGTCACCCACTTGTTTTCTGACTCAAGTAGACTTTGTTCTAGAGTTTCAAATTTAAGTTCTAATTTAGAAAGTTCTTCATCTTTCACACTAACCTGCGTCTGTAACTTCTCTTTTTCAGTCTTCATCTGCAGTTTGACAGCATCTATCTGCATTCTTGAATAGTTCTCACTGGTTTCTAGTTTTTCATTGATTTCTTGGAGCTCTTCCAATTTCTTTTGCAAATGATTTTGAGATGTAGTAAGTTGTGCATTTTCAGCCAACAGTTTATCAGCATCTTCTTGCAAGCGATTTTTTTCTTTCTCTAAAGACTCTACCTGGCCCTGCAGACTGCCTATTAAAAGGGCGTTGTCATGGCAGTCTTGAGAGGATCTGGAATTCACATCGTTCAATTCTAAGCTCAAACACGTTATTTTATCTGCCTGCTCAGCGCACTTCACACGCAGAGACTCCACAGCCAATTCTTTTTGCTGTAGTTCTTCTTTCAAAGAATTTATTTGCTCTAGTGCTTTTTGGTGTTCGCTTTTAAGAGAGTCAAGTTCAATTGTCAAAGAATCCATTTTCTTCTGATTAATATCAAGCTCCTCATTCTTTTCCTGAAATTCCTTAGTGAGGTTTTTCATGGCTGTACCACTTTCCTTTAATTTTCCTTTAAGAACCTCAATCTCACTAGAAAGACCATTAACGTTGCTATCTGCCAACTGTATACTGGTATCTTTCTCTTTTAAAGAATTTAGCAGTCCAGCAATAACTTCTTCTTTTTTCTCAACAGCTGCATTCAGCTCAGTTCTTAATACATATTGTGCTTCGATTTTCTCCTGAAGAGATAAAAAGGCATTTTCTCTCTCATGTACTAGGTCTTTAGTTTTCTGCAGCTCTTGTGTTAGTTCATCTACCTGACTCCTGAGCTGAGAAATTAAATTTGTCTTCTCTTCATCTGTCCTTGCTTTCTCCTGCAGAGTTTTGAGGAGACTTTCGTTTTCCGTAAGAGATGACTCCTTTTCTGATAACGACTGGTTCATCTCAAGTATTACATTCTTCTGATTTTGTATTTCTTTTTGCAAATTCACTTTTCCTTCCTCCAGATCTACCACCTGTTTCTTTAAGACCTCACATTCATTCTCTTTCTCTTGAAGTTGTCTCTTTGAAGTCTCGCTAGACAATGAAATATTGTTGATGGTTAATTCTTTTTCTGAAAGAAGTACTTTTAATTGTTCTGCTTCAGAGGCTAAAAGCTCCAACTGTTTCTGTTGCAAAACAGAAGATTCCCGTACCTCAGAAAGCTCTGCTTTTAAACTGATGTATTCATCTAACTTTCGTTTTAAAGATTCATCCTTTTGTATAATTGAATCATTCAACTGGGATGATTTTTCTGTCACATTTTTAAGCTGATATTGAAGGTCAGAAATAACCTCCATATTCTCAGACAGTTGAACCCTAAGTACATCAGACTCTTCAGATTTATCTTTTAATAACTTTAATTCTTGGGCTTGCCTCTTAAATTCATTATCTTTTTCCTGCATTGCATGTCTAAGCTGGCCGGTTTCAAAACTTAGGGCTTGTATTTGGTTTTGCAGATCTGAAATGATTTGCATATATTGCCCCTCTCCTGCCATTTTACTATCTTTCATTTGCTGAACCAAAGCTTCCTTTTCAGAAAGGAGAGTTTCTTTTTCTTCACAGGCAATTTTTAAGTTTTCTTTTTCAATCAAGAGGCCATCAATTTGGTCCTTCAGAGCTAAAATATTATGACTTTGTTGAGACAAGTGTGAAGTTAAAGCAGCTACTTCATCTGATTTTTTCATTACCGTAACATTAACTGTTTCAATGTCTGCTTTCAATTTTTCATTTTCTAGAGCAGCATCATGTGCTTGTTGCCTTGCTGAAGTAATTTCAGACTGTTGCTGTACCAACTGTGACTGAAGAGCTTCATATTCACGGGACTTCTCAGTCAATAAGCTTGAAAAGTCCTCCTTTTCATGCTTAAGCACATCCAATTCTTTGCTTAATAGCTGCAGCTGATTATTTAACACTGTATGTTCTTCCATTTTTTCAGACATTTGCTTATGAAACTTCTCAAGTTCCGAACCCTGATTTTTTAGAATCAGGTCTCTTTCCTCTACCAACTGAGATAACTTTGTTTTTTCATCTTTCAGATTTTTTATTTCATCCTGAAGCTCTACAATACAAAACTTACTCTCTTCCATTGCTTTACGCAATGAATCATTTTGAAGGTTTTTCTCTTCTAGAGACCTGTTCGCAGCTTCAAAATCCAAAGTTAGGCTTTGAATTTGTTCCTGCAGTAATAAATTTTTTTCCTTACTGTGGCTGAGCTCTTGCATTAGGCTACTGCATTCTGATAACTTATTATTTAACATTTCTTCTTTCTTTATTTCTTTGTCTCTTGTATCCTGCAGCTGAATGAGAAGTGATTGCATTTGTTCATGCAACTGTTGTGTCTGTTCCTTGCTTTCACACAACTGATCAGCCAGCACATTACATTCCTTTGTTTTCTCCTGCAGCTGTTCTGCCACTGAATTTTCTTTTTGCTCGGCAAGTACTGAAAGTTGTTCAATCTCCTTTGCCAGGGTGTTTTTATCACAACTTAGTACTGAAAGAGTTTTTTCGTACTCAGCAGCGCTAGCAGATAGCTTATTCTCTATTTCTGCCACAGCCTGGATTTTCTTTAACAATTCACATTCTTTTACATCCAGGAGTTTGGACAAATTCTCATTTTCCCTGATTAGCTGCTCCTTCTCTTTTTCCACTGTATCTATACTTTTTTTCAGATATTCATTTGCTTTTATTTGCTCTGCCAATTTTTCTTCTTTCCCTTCAAGATCTGCCTGCAATTGCTTATTAGCAGAAGCTTTCTCCTGTGTCTCTATTTCCATCTTGTTAATTTGTTTATGTATTTCATTTAATTGGTTATTAAGTTCTTTGCAACATGTCTCTTTGGCTTCCAGATCTCCAGTTAATTTAACTTTAGTCTCTTCATTTTGCTGCTCCAAAACCCCAAGTTTCTGCTGTAATGAAATAATGAACTCTTGTTTCTCTTGTAATTCTTTTCTAATTGTTTCCTGATGTTCAGTATGTTCTATAAGCTTTCTAGATAACTCAGCCAACTCTTCATCTTTTTTAGCATTTTCCGAAACCAGTTTATTGTATGAATCTTTAATTGATTTTAACTCATTTTCAAGTGTCTGTGCTTTACTCTCTTTCTCTTTAAGCAAATTGTTCCATTTTTCCTTGAGAGTATTGTTTTCCTCAAGCTGAGATTTCAAGTATTCAGTTTCTTTTCTTTGTTTATCCTCAGTTTCTTGTAACTTTTCAGATGATTTACTAATTTGTTCTTTCAGCAAAGTAATTTGTGACTGGCACTCTGCCAGTTTGTTATGGTATGCAACATTGTTGGCTTTGATTTCCGAACGGAGATCCTTAATTGTAGCGCTGTTCTCACTGCTTTGTCTTATTAATTCCTCATTTTCTTTGGTTTTAGCTTCATTTTCAACTCTAACTCTTTCTAGCTCTAGTCTCATTGCGTTACTTTGCTCCGAAAGGACAGATATCTTCACGCTTGCATCTCTTACATCAGCTGTTTGGACTTCTTTCAGTAAATGAGTTTCCCTTTCAGCCTTTGATAAGGCCTCCTCCATCCCTCGTATTTCTTCCTCTTTGCATTGTACTTGGCGCTTCAGGATGATAATCTGTTCAGAATACTCTGTCATATTCAAAGACAGGACAGACATCTCCCTGTCTTTTTCTGCCAGTGCTTCTTTAAGATTATCAATTTCTCTCTCACGTTTCTGGAGATCTTGAATAAGTTGAGATCTTTCCTCTAAATGGCTTGTATTCAATTTGTCAAGCTCTTCATTTGTCTGGTCCAGGTCCAGCTGCATTGACTCTACCACGCCATCTTGTTTCAAAGTCTAAACACCAAGAAAAGCATGTTAGAAAAATAATTCAAACATATATTAGAGGGAGAATGGAAATTACACTCCACATGCAGAAAGAGTATCTAAGGTAACCGATCTGTCCCCAAATGTACAGTCACAAGATAACCAGGCTATTCTTTAAATTGTTTTAGCATACAGAAAGTTTAGTGTATGAAATTTTTAGCAGTTAATGCTGCTATTTTGCTGACATTTAAATGGGCCATGTCAAAAGAACACAAAATTTCTTCTCTTACTTTATTTTACAAAATGCGTCAAAATAACACAAAATTTCTTCTCTTACTTTATTTTAACAAGTTACCTTTTCCTTCAGTGTAGCAACTTTTTCTGTTAGATCACTGATGACCGTTTTCTGCTCAGCATTCTCCACTTCATAAACACTGCACTTCTTTAAGGCTTCATTCAGCTTAGTATTAAAAATAAAAGTCAATGTGATAGAAATATATAGAATTATATTAAAATGGTGATTTTATATTTGTAGTATTGAATTTACATAACAGTTGAGTTTATACTTTGAAATTAATAAACGAGGATAACTTATCATCCCAATAAAACATAAATACTTCCATTCAAAGCTCCACGTTGGGTCTAAAAAACCCCTACATCCAGCTTAAAGCAAAGCAATTACACAAAGTGAACAAAACTGTAAAGAAAGAGAGCAAAAACCTTCAGATACAAAAACCAGCAATATTGCTGCTGGGACACAAATAGAAAGTTATAGTTAATGCTCTCCAGTTCTAATAAATTAAATTCTATTTAATAATAACTTACTTTTTGCTCAGTACACACAAACTTTTCACCAAGATCTTTGTTCAGAAGATCTTTTTCTTGAAGCAGTTTCCTCAAAGTTTCGATTTGTTCTAGTTTTTCTGTCACGCTCAACAGTTTTTGCTCTTTTTCTCCAAGAGAAGTTTCAAGGAAGCTATTTCTGTCACTTAACCTACAAAGAAAATTCATATTTAGATACTTTGAAAACAAAGCTTACTTTAAGCTTTCTAGACTTATTAGCTCCAAACTGTGGTCCTACAAGAATAATTGTTTTTACACTTTCCATTTAAACTTCAAAGTACAAAAATTAGCATTACTGCAAACACAAGCAGGAATCAAGTAACTCTCTTTCAAGTGTTTTAAGAGATTATCCTCAGTAGAAGCTTAAAGCAAAGAAAGTGAATCCTGTACGGAGTTGTAAAGAGCCCTCATTTTACCCTTTAAGCTGCTCATTCAAGCCAGAGATCAGAATTTGATTCTTTTCCACATCTCGCATTTGTTGGCTGCGTAATTGGGTGAGTTGAGCTTGCAATCGTTCGTTTTCATTCTGCAACAAAATAACAAGGAAGAGAATTATCACATGAAATCACTCAGAATATTTTAGGAAATCTGACTCTTCAGGAGATTTACATTCTACATGGTAATAGAGACCATTCTTCTAGCCCTTCAGCAGGTATCAGTGCAAAATACACCACTCACATCACAAGTTCAGGTGGCATATTAGTTCAAACAGATGCAACCCACCTTTCAGAAATGCTGCAAGAGCATGAACTCAAGGACGATTGCTGTATACCCAAAACACCACACACACTCACTGTGTTAAGGCAGCTTACTTATCTTAACAGGGGAAGCTATTGCTTTGAAAAATATAGTGGTTTTTTTCATCGGTTTGAGGACAGTACCAAACTTGCGAATTTTTTTTGCCCATTTTTCAGGTTGAAGGAATGCAAAAACCTGCATATGGGGGAATTGTGGAAAAAAGAAAAAAGGAAGCAAGCTCCATTCACACAGCTTTTCTATTTTGTTTTTAAAGACAGTACAAATCTCCTACTCTAGTCAGAGCCACTGCACCAATTCAAAAACAAAACCATGAAATAAAAAATAATCTGATAACAGCAACCAAAACCAGAACATAGATCCAGAATCAACAGAAAAGAGGACAAACACAGCAAACTTGTCACCTCTACTGAAAGTAAGCTATCATTCTGGAGGAGGCAGAACACACCTGTACCGCCCTCAATAGCTGCCCTTCTTCATCTACACCAAACGTTACCTGCATTGAAAGGCTTTGTTACAAGATTCTCAAGTAATAATTAATATAAGGTTGTCTTTCATCTTAAAATCGTTCATTCTTTTTTATATTTGTACAACTTAACAGATAAAAAACGATGAATAATGCACGAACCCTGAAGGAGCTTGAATAACAGATCAGTTGTGTCATTTAGTGAAAATAAGGTTTAAAAATTATCATAGTAACTTTTCCATCAAAAAATATTAAAAATAACTTTTCTGATAAATATTTACTTTACTGTTCCTTTTTGTGCCTTCATTGAATAATTTTACAATCTAAATATATATAAAATTAATACCTCAGGGTTAGAATGTTAGTTATATATATAAACAAATACTAAATTATTAATTCTTTTTTCTGCATTCACACAGTTTCTTTTCTATAAATGTGTGTGTATATATAAATAAAAAAATAATATTGACACACACACTAATATAAAAGAAACTTGAGGGATGTAAGAAGAGGGAGACTTATGCCAGTAGGAACAAAATCTAATTCTGGACTTTCTGACAAAGACCCCCTAACAAAGAATAATGAAAATCATGTTGCCTTTTACTATGGTTCTAAAACAAATAACGAAGCCAACTTTCCATCAAGTTTCTCTGTGTGATGATTTTTACTTTGGTTGAACAGAAGTGTCAGGTTTCAACTTCAAAGCATAATATTGTGTGTGTACACTCTCTGCCAACATAATTATGAAATATAAAAAAGGCTTTAGACATTTTTGGTAGCTGCAAATTGACTTTTTTGTCTTGCTGTAGGCTATGATTGTAAGAACATAAACAGAGAATGAAATGATTCTCCTACACCACAGGATTTAAACAACTACAAAAGCTCACCTGTAGAGCCTCCATTCTACCTTGAAGCTGCATTCTATCTTCCAAATCCTGACAGCGCTCTTCTAGAAACAGGATTTGTTCCTGCAGCTGATTTCTTTCCAGTTCCAACTCTTCAACCACACTCCGTAAGCCTGCTTAAGTCAGAGAAGAGAAATTCTTTCAAGAAAAGTCCTAATAAAATTCCAGAAGTCTAGAAATGGTTTTGACCTTATTATTCTCAATTCTCACCAATGTTGGGCACAAACAAGTCTCAACCATTTCCAGTGGAAATGCCTGAGGCCCTGCATTTCCAAAAATTAGATGGCTTTAACTGTTGAAAAAGCAAAATAAAGCTTCATAGCTCAAGAACTAAAGAGAACCTTGCAGAAATATTATAAACAATATTGTGGCTCAATCAATAGTGTGACTCATGCTACTTTAATTACAAGTCAATCATGTACTTGCAGGATCGGATCTTAAACAATTATTAATAAACAAATAAACAATAAACCAGTCTGTATATGTACTTGCAGGATCAGATCTTAAACAATTATTAATAAACAAATAAACAATAAACCGGTCTGTATCAAAATTTTCAAGTGTGTCTATTCCATTTTAACCATAAGATATATTTGCAGCCTTAACTACCAATATAAAAACATTTGCATTAAAAAAATAAATAATTTGATTTTTAAATTAAAAGCATACAGCGATGGAATGCAATTCCACATAACTCTTACACAGATTGCAAACACAGTCACAGAAACAAGTAACTTAAAAAAACCCACACAATCTTGCCACAAGACTCAGTAACTTAAAAAAACCCACACAATCTTGCCACACAGGATGGGCACCAAGGCTCAACCAATTTCAGTGTTTACTCGTATTTATATTCTACTTCTGAACCAAAACTAGGCAGTTCATCCAGCACGCACATGCTTCGAAATGAAAAGGAAGAAAACGCAAGCCAAAAAAATTCAACAAAGATTAGAATACACCACAAATGGGTTGTTAGTTGAATTTCAAAACAAAAATAGACACAAAATACAGATGCTGTGCATGCTTTAATAAACTGTCTAGTCGCTATCACACCTGCATTAGGTGAAGTGTACTCTGGCCACCAACCTCCCATATTTTCTCCTTCAGCTGAATCAGTGCTATCCAAGGTGACATTCAATTCTTGAAAGCATTGTTTTCTATCAAAGTTGTATTCTTCCTACGGACAAAACATGAGAATGAAGTTTAATTTAAAGAAGAAAGGAAGCAAGGGAAAAATACATATTCTTTTAATAAAAGTGTAGTTTCAATTAGAAATCCTCGAACTCAGCAAGTGACTCAAGTGCCTAAATGTAAATATATGGGATTGCTGTGGGCACCAGAGTAACCTGCCCAGCTTCCAGCCATTATTTCCAGAAAAGCCAAGTATCCCATAGGTTTTTTAAGGTATCTGCCAGGCCTTTGAAGACACCCTCAGGCATCTGAAAGGCCAACAAATAACTGTTTGGAAGCCTTAATTGGTCCCCTGATTTCTACAGTTAATGAGGTTCTCTGAATCTCAGGGTAAAGGATCAGAGTTAACTAAAAATAAAATTATTCTTCCATAGTATGACAATATGAAAATGGCATTCTAATTCTCCTTACAAAAGATTACCACTTTTTTGTGCAAGTTACAGCACCAACTACCTGGAATAAGACCTGAATGAACTGACACCACTTACTAATTATTCCCTAAAGTTCCACCAAACAGATTTGTAAAAATTGTATCTAAACCAAAAACGATGTTAAAATATTAAGCATGCACATAGCTTCAAGCATTGAATTACTCCAGAGGGAAGCTCATTATTTTTCAGTGCAAAATTAACTAGACTCATTACTCAAGGAATAGAGAGTTGTAATGCCATTGAAATTTCTCATCTACTGGCTACATACACGACCATTAAATTAACCAAACCTACATTCTTAAGCCCTTAATGTTTTTAAGTGTAACACACCATATAAATAATAGCGTTTTCCATATTTTTATTAACATAAGGGTAAAAAAGAATTGTTAAATGTTTTAACCCACCTGAAGCTTCCTGCTGGTCTGATTGCTTTTTCTTCTTGCCTGCTGCGGCCTGCCCACTCCTTGAGCTGTGGCCAGTTCCTCCTCCAGCTCCTGTTGCCCTGAGACCATGGCTGGATCAGAGCAGCCAGGAAAGAACCAGTCATCCTCAATCAGTTTTGTGCCACAGGAAAGCAGTTACATTTATATCAGACACTACTACATGAAAAGAGACCAGGGACAGGCTGAAGTCCCTACAAACGACTGACAGGAACAAGATTAAAGGAACAATCCATTTGCGTTCACCTTGTGATTTTCCTCCAACATCACTATGTAGAATATAACAATAAAACCCGCATATCTCACTAAGAAGAAGCAGCAAACTAAAATCTAACTTCACTTCTTCATCAGCTCTAAATGAAGACTTTCTACAGGAGACTGGAAAGGGTGAGGTCATGCTGATACTAAGAAAAAAATGCCAACCAATTAAAATGCCAAATTACATCTCATTTCAATTTACCAGGTTAAAATATACCTAATTTGTATGATGAAGGCATCAGCCGAAACAGCTGTGGTTTTTATAATCTGAACAATCACATTCATTTGTATGGAAATGACATGTGTCCCTTTCGATTTTAATTTTAGTATGAGCTACAAAGCCAGATAATTTGAGGAAGTCACAAGCATGCGTAACACTGCAAACTGGCATCAAACCATCTTCTAAATTAATAATACCACTCTTTTTAAGACAAATACAGAATCATTTGTAAATAAACACAGGGAATAAATTCAGAATATGACAGCTTAGGTATGCATCCTGTTCATTGTTAGAAATGATTTTTCATTTAAAGTACCTTCCCATCTGTTTTGTGATATGACAAAACACGTTTGCGGCAACAGATTAGGAAATAGACGTTTCATGCAAAGCAGACAAAACAGAACAGCCGGTGAAAAGAAACGAGAAGTAAAAGGTGGCTCCATACTTTTAGTTGAAAATTAGACTAAGTAGATCATTACAAATTTAGCTTTCAATTTAAACACATCAGGCCACAGTTGTCCTCACAGCAGGCAAAATTCAGAGAACTTATGTCGGTGCATCTGTGAGTCAGACACCAGGCGCTATTTTGAGACTCAGCCCTACTAGGGATACTCAGCTTTCACCCCAGTTGTCCAGGGATTACTTATACCACAAATTGCATTAAAACACAATTCCATAATGCCTACTAGATTTAAGTTCTTCCTGTAATATTTCAAAACTATATACTTAACATGTTGCCAGAACAGACTAGAGGAAAAAAGTTAAAAGAAAAAAACTTCATTACTTTTGAAGTAGGACTGCTAAATTGGATTTCACTTCTTGTTTTAATTACACTTTGGCTTCTGGCACTGTCAGTTTATCAGCATTCATTTTACACACTTTTGTTTATTTTCAAGTATAAATACTACAGTTTTAAATAAAATTTTTAAACTTCTGTTTACAAGAACTGTCACTGAAGTCAGTGCGGCAATTCAAGGAGCAAGCATTATCCTAGATAAGAACTTAACCCCTTCTTTGGAGAAAAAAAAAAAAAAAAGAATAAAAATTAATTTCTTGGAAGCTGAAATTGAGCTAATCTGCTTTTAAGTATTACCAGAATGAGTAAGACACTGTCTCTTAGGAACCCAGAATATTTAGGCTCCGAAGTATTTGATAATGAAAAAAAGAATGAAATTACCATTGTCACATGAAAAATGAAAGTATAGAAAGGGGAGCTTTAGAATGATTTCAAACACTTAGGGAAGTGTTAAAGCACTTTCGGTTAAATTCAGTGTTGCTTTAACAACAATTAGTATGTAAACACATTTTCTAATGTTTTACAGTAGGTTAGGGAGCTTTCCATTTACAATTATATGTAACTTAAAAACTGAAAAACTTCCCAGGACACCTTTCTGCAGACACACGCTGAATTAAAATTAACTAATGATGTGTCTGTGTTTCCTGGTGTCACTATTTACACTAAATATCACAATCTTTAGTAGTTTGCAGAGGAGACAAGCCCCAGTCTATAAATGTCATCACTGCTGTCATCCACTCTGTTTTGTGGCTCCCCGGACATTCAACCCAAAAGAGAAAACTGCCATATTTATATATTTTTATATACATGTATATGGCAAATTGTCATAGACTATGATGGAATGAGTAGTGGGTTTATATATTACTTAAAATGTTAGTAGCTAATATTAATGCATGCAAAGTTCTGCAATTTATGAGATGGAATATGGTTGCTTTTAAAAAAAAAACAACAAACTACTGAATTTCAAGCAGTACTAAGAATATTTAAATGAATTTGATTCTCTCTGAGTCACACCCACTTGTAGCAAGCCAAGAAACTTTTCTCTAGATAAGGTTATAACATAAATATGGAGTCAGCTGTTACTAGAAAGAAAAGTGAAGGAAGATGACTCGGTTAATATAAATGAAAGAACAGGTATTGGAAGGCAGAAAAAAAACCCCAAGTTAAACCCAGCATTTGTTACATGTATTATTTAAATGAATTTGATTCTCTCTGAGTCACACCCACTTGTAGCAAGCCAAGAAACTTTTCTCTAGATAAGGTTATAACATAAATATGGAGTCAGCTGTTACTAGAAAGAAAAGTGAAGGAAGATGACTCGGTTAATATAAATGAAAGAACAGGTATTGGAAGGCAGAAAAAAAACCCCAAGTTAAACCCAGCATTTGTTACATGTATTGCTAAAAACCCACATACCATCAATGGCAAATCTTATAAGGTACTGCTGGCGATTTCCTCCGGGGAAGGCAGGGCAGAAGAAATCAGCAGCAGTACTTTACAAGTTGCCATCGCTGCAGGAACCTGCATGCACAAAACTGATGGGAAACTACGTTCTCCCTGGGCGCCCGGATCGCAGAGGAGGGTAGGAGTGGAGGGGGAAGGGAGGCCGAGGGCTCGTCAGGTGTAACGGCAGGAAAAAAAAAAACACAAGAAACAGAAAGGTCATGCTTATCCCAAGGGGAAAAAAAAATGCAAAATTAAACACGGACTGACGCAGATGAAATTTTACAACTGTTATTAATATTGCATGTGGATCTGTAGTCGCCACAGATGAGATAACGGGTATTTTAATGAAGGGAATATTATTCAATTCCGAAGCTTTACGTGCGTAAATCCCTCAAAAAGAGGGAAGAGACGTGATCCTCAAAACGTTTCTATGCTTACATTCTGAGCTTCCAAATTGATCATGTAAATGAAAAATAATTCAATCGCAGATTAAAAAGAGAAGGCTCAAATTAACTAACTGGATTAATTATGATGGTAGGTTGTGCACATTAAAATTTGCCATTAATCCCCACACAGTTAACTACAAGGATAAAAATTATAACAAAGTACTAGATAGTCTGAAAAAAAAAAGCAGTAAAAACTATCTGAAATTTAGCCAGATTTTACAAGTTTTAATAGAAAAAACTCCTCACCTGCTTTATTAATAATTTCGAAAAATAGAAAACCTGAGATTACTTGAAATGTTATTTTCTGTAGGTAATTTAGTATTTTTAACTAGTTCCAAGCCACTGCCAGTTAATGTCATTCAGCTGATCTATAAAAGTGACACGCACTAACAGATTACTAGATACTCTAAGAAAGGTTTCTCAGTAATTATATTTAAAAGAGAAACTCTTTCACTAAAGCACCATCTTCATTCATCAAATCCAAATGAACACTATGGTTCCCCACACCTTCACCAGTCGTTCTAGGGAGGCAGCTTAAATATTTCAGTGGTGAACTTTTCATCTTTGATCCTTCATACACAGAAAATAAGCTTTCAAAGTAAAATCAAGCAGCCTTGCAGAGCAGCAACTCAGATGGCAAAAAGAAAAAGCACATCTACTCTTAAAAATGATACAAAAAAGATGAATGTATGAAAAACAGATCCAAGGAAATAGCAAAAAAGCAGAACTTGCAAATTTAAGCAATTTCACTAATGATACACATCTTATGACTATAGAAATGAGTTGTGGTGCTGTGCCATCAATGCAATCTGAAGACACACAGACACACATGTCTCGTATGTATATATCTATATGATAATTGCATCGTAAATAAGACAATTCACCTTCTCTCTCCTCCTCAATCTGAGCCATTCTCAAGGCCATAGCAGATTTCTCTTCTCTCACTTGATCACGGGACTCCTCTGACTCTGGGACATTTTCTTGCCATTCCATGAGCTGACTCTGCAATTCATCCACACTCCCTGATTCACTGGCCTAACAAGAGAAATCACACAGGAAAATATATTTATCAAGTCCCACAGCAAATGGAAATAACATTTTAAGTTAGGAAGCCACTGACAGAGAAAAATATCCATTATAATTGACCACTCCGTATAAATAACAATCTATGAAAGTGATAATAATTGCTATTTTAAATCATGTAAAAAGCCTCACTGCTTTATAAAATATCAAAAATGCTACTGTCACTAGCACTTTTAATCTGAAATATTTTTAAACTAACAACGTCTTTTTTAACCAAAATACTTTTCTTGCACATTTTCATCTGAGCAATGTCTCAAAACAATATTCAGCTGTCTTTATGTGGGATAACAAATGTCTATTAAATTTTTCATGCAAATCAATTTGAAAGTTCACCTGCGAAGCTGCCCTCTTTGTAACTTGGTCAAGATCAGCTTGCAACTTCCTTTGCTGCTCTTCATAGACTTCCAGCTTAGTCAGAAGTTCTTCTACAAAAAAAATAATCAATTTGGCTCATTAGGACACAAAGCCAATAGGAATTCAGAATCTATTTTTAAAAAAAAAGATACATCTTGAAAACAAACATGAGAAAGTTCATGTATCTTCATCTCTTTAACTCATCTGCGAAAGAAAAATAATTTTTTTTTTACCATTTTGAGTTCTAATGTCATGTAACGATTGCAGTTTTGACTGTAGTTCTTCATTTTCAATTTCTAATTCTGAGACACGATTGTTTAAGGCAGATACATCATTATTCTTCGATGAAAACTAAAAGAAAAAATAGTTGTAAGTTTTTTAAATGTGCCAAAACACCAGAAACACAGCAAAGTCAGTGCAACTTTATCTGATTTTTTTAGCAATATTTAGAATAGCTGCTTTTCTAATATTTGAAATTGCAATAAACTAGCTAATCTCTAACAAATTTACCCCTGAATGCTGGTAACACCAGTTTGGACTATTTTTTGTTGAGACTTCATCCTGTATCAATATTTTATGTCCATTCGATTTTTATACATTAATTCATATATAAAGATACTGAGGAAATTATTTTCATATTCTCATCACCCCATATTTTACTTTTTTCAGTCAAATCTCCAAGCACAGTTGTTTAAAACAGGCATGGACTATTAAACATGCTCCACATACATTTTTTAGTTCATCCTCCAGTTGTTTGATTCTTGATTTAGACCAAGCCTTCATTTTCAGAAACTTTGCTTCAGATTTGCTGGCCTCTTCTGTTTTCAATTTCACTTGTACTACGAAACAAGACACAAAAATTATTTAAAACCCTAAGAAGATTATTAATACAAGACCTATGTTTAATTCCTTTAGCAACTGAAGTTATATATTTATATTTTTCTTTAAATGCAGTTGTCTTGCATAACTCTAAGAAACATAGTGAGAAATTTACAGTTCACATGATGATCTTGGTATTCCTATAATCATTATTCTAGTATTCTAACAAATTTACCCCTGAATGGTGGTAACACCAGTTTGGACTATCTTTTGTTGAGACTTCATCCTATATCAATACTTTATGTCCATTCGATTTTTATACATTAATTCATATATAAAGATACTGAGGAAATTATTTTCATATTCTCATCACCCCATATTTTACTTTTTTCAGTCAAATCTCCAAGCACAGTTGTTTAAAACAGGCATGGACTATTAAACATGCTACACATACATTTTTTAGTTCATCCTCCAGTTGTTTGATTCTTGATTTAGACCAAGCCTTCATTTTCAGAAACTTTGCTTCAGATTTGCTGGCCTCTTCTGTTTTCAATTTCACTTGTACTACGAAACAAGACACAAAAATTATTTAAAACCCTAAGAAGATTATTAATACAAGACCTATGTTTAATTCCTTTAGCAACTGAAGTTATATATTTATATTTTTCTTTAAATGCAGTTGTCTTGCATAACTCTAAGAAACATAGTGAGAAATTTACAGTTCACATGATGATCTTGGTATTCCTATAATCATTATTCTAGTATTTAATCATAGACATAATTATGAAATGGGCATACAATACATAACCACCTTGGGCAAAGGAACACTTCATACATAACAACTCTTGAAATAGGTTACCTTCTAAGTCTTCCATCTTCTCTTTGGTCACAGACTCCAGATCTCTATCTTCTTTTGAGTTAGTCCGTCCACCGCCGCTTAATTCTGCCACTCGTTTCTTAAGCTGAAACAGGGCCTGATCTTTCTCCTGCAGCTCAGTTTCATGTTTCTCTTGAATTTCATGCAGTTCAGCATTATATTTCTCCTTAACTTTTGTCATTTCAAGCTCATGTTTCTCCATCATGTCTCTTAACTGGGCTCTCATTACATGTTTCTCAGCATCCAGTTTAGACTGGAGGTTTTCTTTTTCAGACTGAAGATGTTTCAGGTTTTCATTAATCTCCTGTAAAAAAAAAAATTAAAAAATACCTTTATATTTAATGCAAAGTATTTCTAGTACCACTACCAAATATTTTATCTATTTATTTATTTATTAGTCATTCTTACAAACACTATAATGAGAAATCAGGGCTGCTGTTGGTAACCTGGCTCTACTACAATAGCTCAGCTCTGACTTTTCAAGACAGAAGTGGGGAGTTCAGCAAAATGGCATCACTATTTGAGGTAAACTGCATATAACCTCTCCCATAGGTGAAAGTGGAATAAAAAAGAATGTTTGGTTCTATGGATTATAGAAGAAAAACAGAAGCAGAGCTCTTTAACAGCGATGCCAAAGATTAAGTATGCTCACTATAATGTCACCCAGGCATTGTCACCTACATCCACTAACATTAAGCTGGCAAACTTGATTTACTCCTTCTTTACAATGTTTTGTTGCCAACTAGTTTTCTACTAGTTAGTGCTTTTTCTACTTTTAGTGCTTTTACGTTAGTTTGTTTAATACAAAAAGATGTATGAAAGATTAAAGATCACTGAGTCAGAGAAGCCTACTCACACTAGACCTGCTGTTCAAGAAACTACTTTCATGATAAATAAACCTCAGGATGTAAACTGTCCAAGTAATCAAATTGTGCAGAGCAGCAGAGGGAACATTTCCAAAACATGGTTTAAAATGCTTACGTAAATAAAGCTTCCTGCCATTTTAATACTTAAACTGCAATGGAATCTCAGCTTTAAGTTCATGTTGTCACAGTCAAACCTTCCCCCTGCCCTCAAAGTGCGTATTTCTGTCCCCTCAGAGCACTAGCACTGGGTACCAGCAGCTCTTTCAAGAGCATCACTGCAGGAAGATGCATCTAACCCAAAAGAAAAAAACCAGCAAAACCCTGTATAAGGCAGGAGGCATAACAAATGGGGAGAACAAATGAAATGGGCTTAAACTACAGAATCACAGAATCCCAATGGAATCTCAGCTTTAAGTTCATGTTGTCACAGTCAAACCTTCCCCCTGCCCTCAAAGTGCTAATGAAATTGTGCAGAGCAGCAGAGGGAACATTTCCAAAACATGGTTTAAAATGCTTACGTAAATAAAGCTTCCTGCCATTTTAATACTTAAACTGTAATGGAATCTCAGCTTTAAGTGCTTTAAGTTCATGTTGTCACAGTCAAACCTTCCCCCTGCCCTCAAAGTGCGTATTTCTGTCCCCTCAGAGCACTAGCACTGGGTACCAGCAGCTCTTTCAAGAGCATCACTGCAGGAAGATGCATCTAACCCAAAAGAAAAAAGCAGCAAAACCCTGTATAAGGCAGGAGGCGTAACAAATGGGGAGAACAAATGAAATGGGCTTAAACTACAGAATCACAGAATGCTATGGGGTTGGAAGGGACCTCTGGAGATCATCTCCAAATCCCTACCAGAGCAGGATCACCCAGAGCAGGTCCTACAGGAACGTGTCTAGTGGGGTTTGAATGTCTCTAGAGAAGGAGACTCCACCACCTCTCTGGGCAGCCTGCCAGGCTTCTTCCACAGCTTCTGCCACCCTCAAAGAAAGAAGTTCCTCCTTCATGGCTTCTGCCACCTTCAAAGAAAGAAGTTCCTCCTCATGTTTAAGAGGAACTTCTTATGTTCAAGTTTCTGCCTATTACCTCTTGCCCTGTCCCTGGGCACCACTGAAAAAAGCCTGGCCCCATCCTCCTGACACCCACCCTTTCAGTATTTATAGGCATTGATCAGATCCCCCCTCAGTTTTCTCCAGAATAAAGACCCAAGTCCCTCAGCTTCTCCTCAGCAGAGAGATGTTCTAGTCCCCTCATCATCTTTGTAGCCCTTCACTGTACCCAGTCCAACTACCATGGATCTTAACTACCTGAGCAGGACATTTACCTGGGTACATAGGCGAAACTATTTCTAGTAAGATTTTGATTCTGGCAGCCCTCTTGGCAAGCTGAAAATTTATTGGAAGTAGTTAAAATGCTGGCCCTGGCACCCCAGACAGGCTCTAATGTGTCTGTTCCAGCAAAGAGTCCCAAAAGCCTGTCTGAGAGAGAGCAACATCCTTTTTCAACACTTGAACTGAAGCAGCAGCACTCAAAGCCTATAATCAGAATTCATGCCAGGTGCTTAAGCACAAAGAACCTTGATTAGGTATTGCTTTTGCAATCAGGAGAAATACAGCAATAGGAAAGGCACGCAATTAGCAAAATGCTGTCTTTGGAGGGAAAAAAAAAGTCTCAGTTTTGGGGCAGTCTCTAACTGGAGAAGCTGAAATCTCCTGACAGCAAGAAGTCTTCCCTATGTGGCAAGTTCCCAAAATGAATCAAGATGAACTACAGGTGAGAGTTGACAGTTTTATATTTTAAGGTCTTTGCCTCTCCACTAAGTTAATTTTCAATGTGAATTAATATTTGTTTGCACAACTATGGTTGCATTATTAGCATGTGTCAAAGCCTTCCAGAAAACTGCCTAAATATTTTATGCAAAACTACCTTTTGTGCACAACCAAAAAGCTTTTTGAACTTGTAATTGACCCGACAAGTTTAGCTGTGCATGTTTCTTATTTCTTACTTTCAATTGCTCGTCCTTGGCATCCAGTTCTTTTTGCAAGACATCGATCACCTGTGTCCTTCCCAGCATGACTTCTTCCTTTTCATGCAGCTTCTGTTTCAAGGCCTTTAGTAACTAGCAAAAAAATAAAAAAAAATAAATAAAAATATCAAACGATGAATAAAGGAGTTAAAACTTTCAGAAGAGAAAGAAAAAAAGACTTATTTTTATTTTCCCAGCCAGACATCTGAACTGTGCCACAGAGGGTAATTACATGATTCCAAATTCCCAAGTCTAACTATATCAAAGCAATCCAGTCTCCAAAGCAACATACCTGCTCTAGGTCAGCACTTGCATCAGATTTAGCAGCTAATTTAAAGAGCTCCTGCTCGTGCTTTTCTCTTTGTACTTGCAGTTCCTTTTCTTTTTCCTGGATAATATTTTGAAACACACGAATCTAAAAACAAACAGAAAGTAAATATGAAACCAGTCAACAAAGGTATAGTAAAAGTGTACACTGAATTGTCCAACTAAAGGTAAAGAAAGACAGTGTATTCTATTTTGTCTTAATTTTGCTTCCACTTAACAGTTATCAGCCAATGGTTACTGATGTCAGTGGTGCACGCAGATAAACCTCCAACTTACATAAAATTTGTCTGAAATCCATAATAGCAAATTTTAAATGAAAAGCACAGTACTGTTCATTTTTGTGATCACAGATCTTCACCTTTCTTTTTTGGATGCCACTGTTCTGAGACTTCTCATTTCTAAAAGACTACACCAATCATGTTCATTTCTAGCAAGTTTCTATCAGTTAAGATCAAATGGCAGCTTTGAAACCTTGCTGCATCCTCCTCAAAAACTTGTATTCTTTGTTAGCTATCTTAAAATTTTTGTAAGAAGTGGCTAAAACTTCTGGAATCTTGCTAATGTTATTTTGAATAATATTTACAAAATACATATTTATTATATGTATTTATTCTATATTATATTTTTATATTATAATTCTAAATTGTATATTCATAATACATATTGTATAAATTATAATACTTAGGACAAGAGGAAAGGGGCTCAAGTTATGCCAGGGGAGGTTTAGATTGGACATTAGGAAAAATTTCTTCACCAAAAGGGTTGACAAGCATTGGAACAGGCTGCCCAGGGAAGTGGTGGAATCATCATCCCTGGAGGTATTTAAAAGACGTGTAGACATGGTGGCTGAGGGACATGGTTTAGTGTTGGTTTTTGTCAGAGTTAGGTTGATGGTTGGACTCCCTTCCAACCTAGACAATCCCATGATTCTATAAATTCACCCCAGCCACCATCCTTAAACTCCTTTCTTGCATAAAACTTTCAACTTCAATTATCACCAGCATGGACCATCTACTGCTTCATTATTCTCATTTCATCTGATCACTGTACAGACCTTTACTCAAGAATCATCCAAAATTAAAAATGGCACTTTTTAACTATCAAGAAAGAAACACTACAGCCAAATTTCCACTTCTTCCATCAAAGAATGTAAATACTTTTACAGAGTGTTTACTTACATTTTCCACATATGTAGCTTCTTTTCCTTGGAAACGCTCTCTCTCTTTGTTTTGAATATTTTTAAGGCTTTCAATCTGTTCTTGGAACAAGCTACATTTTTCTTCGCTGTCTCCAACCTTTTTGGTAAGGTTCTGAACCAGAATTTGCATGCTTTCTAGTGATGACTCTTTAGCAGCCAGCTGATTCTTTAGAATGCAAACCAAGAGACAATTAGAAGAATGGACCCAGAAAAAAAGATACAGTAATCGTCATGAAGCCACCTCCAACCTTTTCCCTCAGTTAAAGCAACATTAAACTCAAAACTCAGGTTTCTTTTTTATTTGAATGAAATTTGTCAGCAGATTCTGAAGTTGATACTAATACATATATATGTATATATAGAATCAGAATTGTCCAGGCCAGAAGGGACCTCCAAAGGTCATCTAGTCCGACCTCCTGGACTTATATTTATAAGTAAATAAATATAGACTTACTAATATAAATGAAAATAATCAGTAAGGAATTTTTATTCACATGAAGGATTTGTGCTTTGGAGAAGGATCCACCGTAAAACGCTTTCAGAAATTCAGAAAAAGAATTCATTAATTCCTTGAACCCTCTATGGAGATTTGATATTTGAGCTGCTAATATACCTTCAGTTCTTCATTGGGCAAGAGTACTTCATTGGCAACCCCACTTGATCCACATGCTATCTGCAAATCAATGATATAAGCATCTCTTTCAGCTAACTTCTTTTCCTTCTCCGCCAGCATGGCATCCATTTCAGTCCCACGACAACGCTGGGCCTCCAGTTCAACGCTCTGGAAATGAAAAGACACCATTGCTTATAAGTGATACTTCCACCATCTACAGCACAGACTGGCTTGCATTATTTCCTTATATCTGGTTTAGGGTACTGAAAAAAATACAATCAAATTTATAACCTGGTTCAATTTCAAGTGTAATCTTCAATTATTCAGCCTTTCTCTCTGAAATTCTGTGGCATTCACACTCCTGCCACTTTCCACAGTCAACGGTTATGTCCACAAAACCTATCGCTGCACAGAACAGCTACAAAGCAAAACAGAACATCATCCCTTGACTTACATTTCTTCCTGTTATGACTTACTTTTCCAATAAGAAAAACGGAAGCAAACCAGCATTTTTGTTCAAAATAGAAGCATAAAAATAGCATTAACCCACAAAGCTCATATTTGTGTACCCTATTCCTTTCACTTTCAAACGACTACAAAACATGCCTGAGGATTCACTGCTCACTGAAGACACAATGACAGAACTCCCATGGTGTTTGCTGGGGCAGGTTGTAGCAAATAAACTTCTCTGTCTACTCAACAGAATATCTATTTATTCTGTTTATATATTTTACTATATGCTATATTGCTAAACATATTTAAATAAATATATTTAAACATAATCCTACACGACAAATGTGAAAATGTGAAACAGCATCATATTAAACTTTACCTTTTTTTGTAACTCTTCATTTTTTTGGTTGATCTGGGACTCTAGTTCTTCTATTCTCCTTCTCAGTACTAATATTTTTCCACGATTTGCCGCAGCATTTTCCTGGTCACCTTCTTTTGATGCCTGCAAAAACAGGGAGGGTTGCATTCTGTAAATAGGTAACATCTGATTTCTGTTCCTCTACCTATTCAGATAGTGCTGGTGAGAAGGGGACTTGACTCATGGTTTGTATTTCAGTTCTCTTATATATTACATATTCCATCCTGAAGCTAGACAAAGCAGACACAGAAGTTATATTAGTAATGAAATTAGTAATGATAAAGACATTCATTTCTTCTAACAGTTGTGACCCTATAATCTGGCAAGTGTAGTTCATATAACTCAGAGGAAAAATAGACTACTGGGGGGGAACAGGGTGAAGTGTAAATTAAATTGTTCCTAAACACAATGTTTCCAATCAGAATTTCTGTATGTATCCCTATTGGCTTATAGAAATTATTTGCCATTATAAAAGAAATCAAGTGCAATTGCTAACAATGTGTTCTATTAGCAAAATAGATCAGCAGCAGAAATACAGCGTGTCTCTGAGGACCCCTAGGGACTTCAACAAACTCATCTGTTTCTGTTCCCTTTCAACACAGCTTTAAAAACCAAAAGTCCTAGAAATATTAAAGCCTCACTAAAGTTGCTTTAGAAGCTGTATGGAGTCAAAACATGCCATTTTGACGAAATACAAGGCTACTCACACACCAGAACTACTACAAACAGATCCGAGAATCTTTGTTAAGGGTAAAACACTGGTCACTTAAATGAAAGTCCTACATTTAATTCACATTTTGCCTATAAGGGTATTTTTATATTTCAATTTTTATCTTGGACATTGAAGTAACAAGTTAGTTTGTGTTTTCATTTCTTCTCAATAACTTACCTTTCTGACCCACAGGTGTTAAAAGTCTGAGCTGCTAATAAGATGTGGATCAGTGAGAAATTTTTTAATAAAACTATTAGAAATTAATGTACAATTTTCTAAGTTTCTATAGAAAGATAAAAGAAGAATGAAATAGAAATACACAGATGGACTGACAGCACCCACACAGTCTACCTTGATCCTTATCTGACGCAGCTAAAAATTTGAACTTCAGTTCCACATTTGAGTCCAGCACACAAAACTCTACAGAAGTTATGTCTACTTTGAAATGTAAGGACACTTACCTTCTTTTGTTCTGCTTTTGCCTCCAAGCCTCCTGATTCTGGTAATTGTTTCTTTAGTTCTTCCAACTGTGAGGTTAATGATGCAACCTTGGCTTTGTTTTGCAGCTTCAACTTGGAAAGTTTGGCATCAGCAGATTCCTTCTCCTCCTACAAATATCAAAGTCATGAAGGCCTAAATTAGCAACATGAACAACTGTATCCTTCAATTCAACTTTCTGCACATCGTTATTATTACTGTAAAGAATCCAGGGTACTATCAAGTTAGAAATTTTCCTATTTTTGGATAGCCATAGAAATTCAGGGCTTGACTTTTTAACAAGCAGAGGTTTTTTGGGTTTGCGTTTTTTTATGGAAAAAGAAAGACACCTTCCTAATACTATCAAAGCATGTTTAATTTTGTTTAAAGAGATAACCTAATTTACAATGAATTTTAGAAAATTCAGTATTTTAACACTTGGCTGTCTATGTCCACAGAAGACATTTTTTTAAAAGGGTAAAAATAAGTCTCTTGCAGGAACAGACCAACCTTATGAATATTTTAAAAAATGACAGAGTAAAGAATAGCAAACCCTCAAAAGCCTACAGAATATTAGATACAAATTCTTTCTAGTTCCAGCCTTCCTAATGCCAGTCAAAAGCAGAGGTCAACATATATTATTAATTATACATTAATAGTAAGATCATTAGATCATTATGCAACAAGAAGACATACACAGTGGAAGTAGAAATAACAAATTATCTACAGAAATTCAGTCTGTAGTAAGTTGGTGTCTCACTAAATGTCCAGGAATGATTTGGATGGTGGTTTTCCCCATCTTTAGCCTAACGAGACCATGCAGCTCTAGCTCTTGGGAAGTCAGTCTGTCACTTTCATCTCCTCGTGCAAGGAACATGTTGCCTGTCTCATACCTAAACCCAGTTACAATTTTGGAAGAGAAGAAACACTGGCAAAAAGCAGTAACATCCAGGAACCACAACAGCTAATCGTGACCAACGCTTCTTGTGCTCCTAGAATTGCTATAACTGAATATAAGCCTGGATCTATGAAACAGCTCATGATAAACAGGAGGGAAGGGGGCTGTTAAACAGTCTTTTTGACATGAATACACGCACGGTACCTTTAACTGAAGATCTTTATTTCGTAGCTCAGCATCCTTCTCTCTGACAAGCTCCTTTAGCTGTGCCACCAGCTGCTCAGTACTTCTCAGCTGTTCAGTCAGATCTGTCACCGACATGCTCCTTGCATCTGCCGAGCCCGCAGCCTACAGACATTAAATATACTTTTGAACAAAGAAAATGGTACAGACAATACTGCTCCTGCAAAAAAAAACGTCAGCAGTTGGGTGTTTGGTTGGGTTTTTTTAAATGCATTCAACAAATCTTATTAGAGTACAATATTAAAACTTTGATATACTATATATACCTATACCAGATGGTTTTTAGCTAGTTTGATGACACATGAAATTAATATTCCTAAACCAATTTCTAAGATTTATAGTTTTAAATACAGAAAAACCATCAAAGTATCTAGGTATCTAATTTCTTTTTTGGATGCCACTGTTCTGAGACTTCTCATTTCTAAAAGACTACACCAATCATGTTCATTTCTAGCAAGTTTCTATCAGTTAAGATCAAATGGCAGCTTTGAAACCTTGCTGCATCCTCCTCAAAAACTTGTATTCTTTGTTAGCTATCTTAAAATTTTTGTAAGAAGTGGCTAAAACTTCTGGAATCTTGCTAATGTTATTTTGAATAATATTTACAAAATACATATTTATGATATGTATTTATTCTATATTATATTTTTATATTATAATTCTAAATTGTATATTCATAATACATATTGTATAAATTATAATACTTAGGACAAGAGGAAACGGGCTCAAGTTATGCCAGGGGAGGTTTAGATTGGACATTAGGAAAAATTTCTTCACCAAAAGGGTTGACAAGCATTGGAACAGGCTGCCCAGGGAAGTGGTGGAGGCTGAGTGACAAGGTTTAGTGTTGGTTTTTCTCAGAGTTAGGTTGATGGTTGGACTCCCTTCCAACCTAGACAATCCCATGATTCTATAAATTCACCCCAGCCACCATCCTTAAACTCCTTTCTTGCATAAAACTTTCAACTTCAATTATCACCAGCATGGACCATCTACTGCTTCATTATTCTCATTTCATCTGATCACTGTACAGACCTTTACTCAAGAATCATCCAAAATTAAAAATGGCACTTTTTAACTATCAAGAAAGAAACACTACAGCCAAATTTCCACTTCTTCCATCAAAGAATGTAAATACTTTTACAGAGTGTTTACTTACATTTTCCACATATGTAGCTTCTTTTCCTTGGAAACACTCTCTCTCTTTGTTTTGAATATTTTTAAGGCTTTCAATCTGTTCTTGGAACAAGCTACATTTTTCTTCGCTGTCTCCAACCTTTTTGGTAAGGTTCTGAACCAGAATTTGCATGCTTTCTAGTGATGACTCTTTAGCAGCCAGCTGATTCTTTAGAATGCAAACCAAGAGACAATTAGAAGAATGGACCCAGAAAAAAAGATACAGTAATCGTCATGAAGCCACCTCCAACCTTTTCCCTCAGTTAAAGCAACATTAAACTCAAAACTCAGGTTTCTTTTTTATTTGAATGAAATTTGTCAGCAGATTCTGAAGTTGATACTAATACATATATATGTATATATAGAATCAGAATTGTCCAGGCCAGAAGGGACCTCCAAAGGTCATCTAGTCCGACCTCCTGGACTTATATTTATAAGTAAATAAATATAGACTTACTAATATAAATGAAAATAATCAGTAAGGAATTTTTATTCACATGAAGGATTTGTGCTTTGGAGAAGGATCCACCGTAAAACGCTTTCAGAAATTCAGAAAAAGAATTCATTAATTCCTTGAACCCTCTATGGAGATTTGATATTTGAGCTGCTAATATACCTTCAGTTCTTCATTGGGCAAGAGTACTTCATTGGCAACCCCACTTGATCCACATGCTATCTGCAAATCAATGATATAAGCATCTCTTTCAGCTAACTTCTTTTCCTTCTCTGCCAGCATGGCATCCATTTCAGTCCCACGACAACGCTGGGCCTCCAGTTCAACGCTCTGGAAATGAAAAGACACCATTGCTTATAAGTGATACTTCCACCATCTACAGCACAGACTGGCTTGCATTATTTCCTTAGATCTGGTTTAGGGTACTGAAAAAAATACAATCAAATTTATAACCTGGTTCAATTTCAACTGTAATCTTCAATTATTCAGCCTTTCTCTCTGAAATTCTGTGGCATTCACACTCCTGCCACTTTCCACAGTCAACGGTTATGTCCACAAAACCTATCGCTGCACAGAACAGCTACAAAGCAAAACAGAACATCATCCCTTGACTTACATTTCTTCCTGTTATGACTTACTTTTCCAATAAGAAAAACGGAAGCAAACCAGCATTTTTGTTCAAAATAGAAGCATAAAAATAGCATTAACCCACAAAGCTCATATTTGTGTACCCTATTCCTTTCACTTTCAAACGACTACAAAACATGCCTGAGGATTCACTGCTCACTGAAGACACAATGACAGAACTCCCATGGTGTTTGCTGGGGCAGGTTGTAGCAAATAAACTTCTCTGTCTACTCAACAGAATATCTATTTATTCTGTTTATATATTTTACTATATGCTATATTGCTAAACATATTTAAATAAATATATTTAAACATAATCCTACACGACAAATGTGAAAATGTGAAACAGCATCATATTAAACTTTACCTTTTTTTGTAACTCTTCATTTTTTTGGTTGATCTGGGACTCTAGTTCTTCTATTCTCCTTCTCAGTACTAATATTTTTCCACGATTTGCCGCAGCATTTTCCTGGTCACCTTCTTTTGATGCCTGCAAAAACAGGGAGGGTTGCATTCTGTAAATAGGTAACATCTGATTTCTGTTCCTCTACCTATTCAGATAGTGCTGGTGAGAAGGGGACTTGACTCATGGTTTGTATTTCAGTTCTCTTATATATTACATATTCCATCCTGAAGCTAGACAAAGCAGACACAGAAGTTATATTAGTAATGAAATTAGTAATGATAAAGACATTCATTTCTTCTAACAGTTGTGACCCTATAATCTGGCAAGTGTAGTTCATATAACTCAGAGGAAAAATAGACTACTGGGGGGGAACAGGGTGAAGTGTAAATTAAATTGTTCCTAAACACAATGTTTCCAATCAGAATTTCTGTATGTATCCCTATTGGCTTATAGAAATTATTTGCCATTATAAAAGAAATCAAGTGCAATTGCTAACAATGTGTTCTATTAGCAAAATAGATCAGCAGCAGAAATACAGCGTGTCTCTGAGGACCCCTAGGGACTTCAACAAACTCATCTGTTTCTGTTCCCTTTCAACACAGCTTTAAAAACCAAAAGTCCTAGAAATATTAAAGCCTCACTAAAGTTGCTTTAGAAGCTGTATGGAGTCAAAACATGCCATTTTGACGAAATACAAGGCTACTCACACACCAGAACTACTACAAACAGATCCGAGAATCTTTGTTAAGGGTAAAACACTGGTCACTTAAATGAAAGTCCTACATTTAATTCACATTTTGCCTATAAGGGTATTTTTATATTTCAATTTTTATCTTGGACATTGAAGTAACAAGTTAGTTTGTGTTTTCATTTCTTCTCAATAACTTACCTTTCTGACCCACAGGTGTTAAAAGTCTGAGCTGCTAATAAGATGTGGATCAGTGAGAAATTTTTTAATAAAACTATTAGAAATTAATGTACAATTTTCTAAGTTTCTATAGAAAGATAAAAGAAGAATGAAATAGAAATACACAGATGGACTGACAGCACCCACACAGTCTACCTTGATCCTTATCTGACGCAGCTAAAAATTTGAACTTCAGTTCCACATTTGAGTCCAGCACACAAAACTCTACAGAAGTTATGTCTACTTTGAAATGTAAGGACACTTACCTTCTTTTGTTCTGCTTTTGCCTCCAAGCCTCCTGATTCTGGTAATTGTTTCTTTAGTTCTTCCAACTGTGAGGTTAATGATGCAACCTTGGCTTTGTTTTGCAGCTTCAACTTGGAAAGTTTGGCATCAGCAGATTCCTTCTCCTCCTACAAATATCAAAGTCATGAAGGCCTAAATTAGCAACATGAACAACTGTATCCTTCAATTCAACTTTCTGCACATCGTTATTATTACTGTAAAGAATCCAGGGTACTATCAAGTTAGAAATTTTCCTATTTTTGGATAGCCATAGAAATTCAGGGCTTGACTTTTTAACAAGCAGAGGTTTTTTGGGTTTGCGTTTTTTTATGGAAAAAGAAAGACACCTTCCTAATACTATCAAAGCATGTTTAATTTTGTTTAAAGAGATAACCTAATTTACAATGAATTTTAGAAAATTCAGTATTTTAACACTTGGCTGTCTATGTCCACAGAAGACATTTTTTTAAAAGGGTAAAAATAAGTCTCTTGCAGGAACAGACCAACCTTATGAATATTTTAAAAAATGACAGAGTAAAGAATAGCAAACCCTCAAAAGCCTACAGAATATTAGATACAAATTCTTTCTAGTTCCAGCCTTCCTAATGCCAGTCAAAAGCAGAGGTCAACATATATTATTAATTATACATTAATAGTAAGATCATTAGATCATTATGCAACAAGAAGACATACACAGTGGAAGTAGAAATAACAAATTATCTACAGAAATTCAGTCTGTAGTAAGTTGGTGTCTCACTAAATGTCCAGGAATGATTTGGATGGTGGTTTTCCCCATCTTTAGCCTAACGAGACCATGCAGCTCTAGCTCTTGGGAAGTCAGTCTGTCACTTTCATCTCCTCGTGCAAGGAACATGTTGCCTGTCTCATACCTAAACCCAGTTACAATTTTGGAAGAGAAGAAACACTGGCAAAAAGCAGTAACATCCAGGAACCACAACAGCTAATCGTGACCAACGCTTCTTGTGTTCCTAGAGTTGCTATAACTGAATATAAGCCTGTATCTACAGAAACAGCTCATGACAAACAGGAATGAAGGGGGCTGTTAAACAATCTTTTGACATGAATACATGCACGGTACCTTTAACTGAAGATCTTTATTTCGTAGCTCAGCATCCTTCTCTCTGACAAGCTCCTTTAGCTGTGCCACCAGCTGCTCAGTACTTCTCAGCTGTTCAGTCAGATCTGTCACCGACATGCTCCTTGCATCTGCCGAGCCCGCAGCCTACAGACATTAAATATACTTTTGAACAAAGAAAATGGTACAGACAATACTGCTCCTGCAAAAAAAAACGTCAGCAGTTGGGTGTTTGGTTGGGTTTTTTTAAATGCATTCAACAAATCTTATTAGAGTACAATATTAAAACTTTGATATACTATATATACCTATACCAGATGGTTTTTAGCTAGTTTGATGACACATGAAATTAATATTCCTAAACCAATTTCTAAGATTTATAGTTTTAAATACAGAAAAACCATCAAAGTATCTAGGTATCTAAAACTGGATTTCCTTATTTACTGGATTTGCATCATAACACCCAGTAGTAGCGTTACAATAGTGGCAACAAAATATTGATCTAGAACATACTACACACAAAAAATATACTCGGGATAAAGCTTATGTAATTCCTCCAGATGTTTTCTTAAACCCAGATAAGCCTCATGAAGAGGAATAGAGCAGCTGTTACACACAAGAGATTAAATACTGAGCAGACAGTAAGCAAAAACCCAACCTGACTCTGAGAGTCCCAAAATCAAGTCCTGGTAAAACTAGTTAAACAACTTCTTTATGAAAGAGTAAATACATATTATTTGTATATCATCAATTAAAGATTCTCTCTCTCATAAATTCTGAAGAAAAGCATTATTTTAAAAGTATTCAATACTTACTACTGTTTTGGAAGGAGAATCATCTCCACTACCCCATTTCCACATAGTTTCACGATGGCTATGAAAACATAAATGAAATAATACCACAGTGTCAGTGACTTTCAGGTAACTGTAATTAACTCATACTTCTCTATATATATTTCACTGTGTAATGCTTGAAACTAATTTGTTTGTTAAATTTCTTTGTTAAATTCTGACAGCACCTCTCATCTCTACCACATTACTAGATGTCAAGAAATAATGAAATTATGCATAAAATGTGCATAATATGCCTTTTCTAAAAAAACGCTAGTCAGTAGAATGTCGATACCATCAAAAATAATCCAAGGAAGTCTTTAAAGAGTAAATGCCATAAAGTATTATTTAGCATAGTTGCTTCTCCCACATATAAATAGAAGACACAAACCATGTGTAGTTTGCTAATATTTAACCTGACCTTAAACACTTCCTGCCACCGCAATATGACAGGGACTATATCTGTGCATATTTCTATAATATCATTAATAAGACTAAAAACAGGAAAGAACACCAAAGTGCATTCATTGCTGGGCAACTGCTGTATATCTGAAAAATTAATGTTGTAACCCTTGAGGTGGCTGATCAGCACATACAACACCCCCATCTGAAAGCCCAGCAACTCAGGTGTTTGGCGCTGCTTCTCCTCCCAAACAGGTACAACAAATTACTAAATGGCACCAAAGTACCAGACACCTACATAATTGCAGTTTCTGATCATAGAATGCTGTGGCTTTCTAATAAATACAAGTATAGGCCATAACAAGGTTTCAAAAAAAGGCAAAATCCTCAAGATAAGTAGGTACAAAACAGCTCAAAGGTTAAGGCCTTTACTGAATAATAGTGACAAACCTGGTTGAGAAAAAAATGGGCAAAGTCTATAAAATAGCCCATGCAGTAAATTCCAAGTTGTGTCTTGGAGATATAATCTGAAGAGCAGACTAAGAGGTCTTGTTCAGCCTCTGGACAATATTCCCAGTAGCAGCATGAAGTGAGAAGGGAGGCTGTACCTGTTCAGTAATTTTCACTCTCAACTAGGGATAATGTGTCCTTTTTCTGGGGTATTACAGACTTTTGAAATGTGCACACAGAGATCAGTACTGAATTTGGAAAACAGTTTACAATCAACATCAGCACACAGCTTATCTTAAAAAGTATGCAGAATGCTTGCAGAGGCTGCTTTTAAAGCTATTTATCATTTCAAAGTTAAAACCAGGAATCACAGGCTGCAATCTACAGCCTGCATTATCTACAAGGCCAAGCTGGATTCTGTTAAGGATCTTCTTTAACATTAAAATCAACAAACAAGCCATGGGCTTGGGGATGGGAATTACAGCACTTGGAAGTAGAAACCTCCTCTCATAACTCCTCCAGAGCCGCACCACCAAATCTGTTCTCCATGAAAAGCTCATTTCCAGATACATAAAAGGATTACCCAGGTACAAAGAGGTCAAAATGACTCACTAGGTGTAAGGTGGTGATGCATTTGTATTTAATTTATGGATATTTTATCTCATTTCCAGCTCTGACTGATGCAATTACTTTTGCTCACTTCATGTGCCAGCATTCCCACCTGAATACTTTAACCGCCACTTTCTGATGTATTTTTATTTACATCAGAGACAGTAAATATTGACGAGTTTTCCCAGTTAAGCTGGAAAACGAAATTGAACAGATCTTCCTTATCCAGCACGAAGCCACCCAATGATGTTTTTTTGCTCTTCTTCTGGGATACAGACAGCAAGTTAAAGCACTGAAGGTGGTGAAGGTACAATCTGAATTCTGGACCCCTCAACTCGATCCTGTCTCCTTGCAGTACAGCTAAACACAATTCAATTGAGTTTTCTACCACCACTTTCCTTCCTTTGGCAGCCTGGACACAGCACTATCAGGCATCAAGCATAAAGAGAAGCAGGGAGTCCAAATTATCTGCGGCTGCCCTCTCTGAAGTTTTGGCAGTGACAGCTAATTTGTCTTTCCCCTCTAAATTCAAACCACTCACCCTCACTCTCAAGGTTTCACATTACTTCATCACTGCCAGTCTCTCCTGCTCTTCCTCTTGCATATTCAGTTGGACTTGATGATCTTATAGGTCTTTTCCAACCTAAATGATTCTATTCTACAATTCTATTCCATTCTACTGAGTTTACAACCATTATTTTCCATCCACTATGCACTCATTTCCTTTAATCTCTTCTTCACTGAAGAACACCAGGCAGCAGTCAAACCTTTCACAAATTCCACAAGATACAACACAGGCCCGTTTGATTTTATGAAACAAGTTTCTTCTGATCCTCAAAGTACAACTGAAGTTTCAGCTTTTCTCGCAATGGGATGTGAGCAAAAAGAAAAGAGCCATTGGCAGCTTTGCCTTCAGACTCCTCCATTCTGTTGTCCCAGCAATAGCTGCAGCCAAATCCAGCTAAAAAAACCTCACCGTGTATTATTCAACTCTGCAATTTCCAGCCTACTTAACTCCCCTGAGTCAGATATCACATGGCCCAGCACAAGGGGCACTCAGGAGCACACAACAGCAGACAGGACAGATTTCAGCAGCTGAAGCAGTCACAGGAGTCCCACAGCTTGAAGGTAGCCAGTCTACACGGTGAAATATTGAACTGCATTGTTACAAACACGTCTTTGGATAACTACCCAGGCAGAGCAACAGCCCACTGACTCCCACAGAACTCCTCGTGTTTGTCTAACTTTCCCCACACCTATTCCAAAATAGTTCTGATACAAAAGATGGCTTCAAAGAGCACTCATTGGAGTTCTCACTCTGAAGCCGTTGAGGTTGGACATTTATCCTTCTCTTGCAAAAATACAGACAATGGAGGAAAAAAAGAGGCAGAACTCTGCTCCTCTTACTACCAAGGAAGGTAATGGTAGTCCCCTTTCCTCTCTCTTCCACAAGACTACAGCAGAAAAACAGACAATAGCAGAAGTGTGTAAAAACCCAAGTGTTTTATTACTTAAAATTCATTTCCTGGAACAATTCTGTGCTTTAAACACACACAGCAGAAAAAAAGGCATTTTAATACAATTATTTCCATATTGTATCTGCACATTTTTGTTTACATCCTTGCTTGATGTCTTGCCAAGGTGTTGGTTCTTCTCTTGAATAAGCTAAACTTGTTTTCAAATGGTCTGTGCCATCTATGACTTAAAAGTTCTTGGATAAAAACTACACAATATGATGTACAGCAAAGAAAAAACTGAGGCTGTGTGAATCAAACCACAAATACTCTGTAAAGTTAATATAACAGCACATTTATACAGCTATTACATGTGCCTATTATAAATACTATTTCTTAATAACACTGACCACATTTTCCTCTTAAAAAAGCATACAAGGGAAGTACTACCTTGTAACAATACACCACTGGAGAAACAGAGTATTAGTGCAGAGTCCCCACTGAATCATAGAATGGTTTGTGTTGGAAGGGACCTTAAAAGATCATCCAGTTCCAAGACCCCTGCCCTGGGCAGGGACACCTCCCACCAGAGCAGGTTGCTCAGAGCCCCGTCCAGCCTGGTCTTGGACACCTCCAGGGATGGGGCAGCTTCTCTGGGCAATCTGTTCCAGTGCCTCACCACCCTCACAGTAAAAAAATTCTTCATGATATCTAATCTAAATCTGTCCTCCTTCAGCTTAAAACCGTTTCTCCTCCTCCTATGGCTCCCCTCCCTGATCAAGAGTCCCTCCCCGGCTTTCCTGGAGCCCCTTTTAGGGCCTGGAAGGGGCTGTGAGTGCAGGTTCATGTGTGATGCAGAGAATAAGCTGCTTCCTCCACCAGAGCAGGCGGCCGCAGCTCCTCCTGCAGCGCAGCGCTACCAGCAGCCTGTCACTGGAGGTACACGACACCCCGCCTTCCTTCACCCCCCCTATTTTCAGCAGGGCTCCTCTCGCCTTCACAACAAGCCTCACGGCGGGGAGCACCTCTCAGCCCGGTTCAGAAGCCGGCACAAGGCAGGGGAACCCCCCACACACCGGCAGAGTCCGGGCTGGCCCTCCCCTCCCTGGGCACGGCCTGCTCCGCCACCGGCCCACCAAGGGGCTCCAGCCGCCCGCCCCTCCTCCCCGGGAAGGCCCAGCAGGGCCTGCCGGCGGTGGAAAGGGGATAAAACCCAGCGGGGCGAACACCTGCAGCCCCTCTCACCTGCGGGGTGGCGGTGGGGCGGCCGGGCCCTCATCAGCCGGTCACGGTGGCCGCCACCTCCTCCTCTTCCTCCTCCTCCGCCGCCGCCTCCTCAGCGCGGCCCCCGCAGCATCCGCCACGCCCCGGCGGGAGGTGCCAAACGGCGGCGACAGCGCCCCCTGGCGGCGCGGAGGACCGCGGTCCCCTCCGGTGTCTCCCCCGCACCTACTCGGGGACCAGGCCCACCCACCTCGGAGGTGATGATGGAGGTGTCAGACCTTGTGCCCGTCAACAACATTCCCTCGGGGCCGAGAATCATAGAATCATAGAATGTATTGGGTTGGAAGGGACCTCAAAGATCATCCAGTTCCAACCCCCCTGCCATGGGCAGGGACACCTCCCACTAGAGCAGGTTGCTCAAAGCCCCATCCAGCCTGGCCTTGAACCACTCCAGGGATGGGGCATCCACAACTTCCCTGGGCAACCTGTTCCAGTGTCTCACCACCCTCATAGTAAAAAATTTCTTCCTGATATCTAATCTGAATCTTTTTTCTTCCAATTTAAAACCGTTTCCCCTTGTCCTATCATTACCCTTCCTGGCAAAGAGTCCCTCCCCAGCTCTTCTATAGGCACCCTTCAGGTATTGAAAGGCCGCTATAAGGTCTCCCCGGAGCCTTCTCTTCTCCAGGCTGAACAATCCCAGCTCCCTCAGCCTGTTTCGTAGGAGAGGTGCTCCATCCCTCTGATCATCTTCGTAGCCCTCCGTTGCACCTGTTCCAGCTGGTCCATGTCCTTTCTGTGTTGAGGACTCCAAAGCTGGACACAGTGTTCCAGCTGGGGTCTCACGAGTGCAGAGTAGAGGGTCAGAATAGTAGAGAAGACTCTTATGGTCTGAGAAACCCATAAAAACAATTATTCTCTCACCCCGTGACCCCTCCCCACCCGGGAAGGGGAATTGGGAAAAACCAAGGAAACCCAAGGGTTGAAATACCAACAGATTATAATTGAGTAAGACTGGATAATTAACATTGATAATACTGAAGAACCAATATTGATTATCAGTAGAGAAGACTCTTATGGTCTGAGAAACCCATAAAAACAATTATTCTCTCACCCCGTGACCCCTCCCCACCCGGGAAGGGGAATTGGGAAAGAAGACTCTTATGGTCTGAGAAACCCATAAAAACAATTATTCTCTCACCCCGTGACCCCTCCCCACCCGGGAAGGGGAATTGGGAAAAACCAAGGAAACCCGAGGGTTGAAATACCAACAGATTATAATTGAGTAAGACTGGATAATTAACATTGATAATACTGAAGAACCAATATTGATTATACTTAGCCCATTGTATCACCAGGAAGCTGGTCCCTCCCAGCAGGGACAGAAAAACAATTATTCTCTCACCCCGTGACCCCTCCCCACCCGGGAAGGGGAATTGGGAAAGAAGACTCTTATGGTCTGAGAAACCCATAAAAACAATTATTCTCTCAGCCCGTGACCCCTCCCCACCCGGGAAGGGGAATTGGGAAAAACCAAGGAAACCCGAGGGTTGAAATACCAACAGATTATAATTGAGTAAGACTGGATAATTAACATTGATACTACTGAAGAACCAATATTGATTATACTTAGCCCATTGTATCACCAGGAAGCTGGTCCCTCCCAGCAGGGACAGCCCATGTGGGACCCTGGGAGGAAGGGAAGGGCTCAGGGCTCCGGCCCCGGGGCAAGGACTTCTCAGGATCCCAGCCATCCAGGGAAAGAAAGAGAGAGAGAAGTCAGCAAACTTCCTAATTTATATTGAATGTGACGTTCATGGTGTGAAATAATCCTCTTAGATTATTTTGCCGGCTCTAGGTGACCCTGCCGGGGGATTGGACTAGATGATCTCCAGATGTCATTATTTCGCCAGCTCTAGGTGACCCTGCCAGGGGATTGGACTAGATGATCTCCAGATGTCCCTTCCAACCCTGACCGTTCTGTGATTCCATTCTCCTCCTGTACCTGAGGGAAAAAAAAATTATCCCCCAAGTCTCCCCCTTTACCTGAGGGAAAAAAAAATTATCCCCCAAGACAATAAAAAAAGTGGGATAAAGGTAACTATTCAGTGGAAAAGGACAAAATGCTCGAGGAAAGGTCATGAGCTCTGAATGAGCTGGTGGTATTTCCCCAACCTGATGAAGAATTTGTACGGGGGAGAAAGGTGGCCATAATATCTTCTGGGGGGGGTGATCACAGTAGACTTAAATTTCAGCAATGAAGATGAAGTTAAACACTAGGAAAAAGTGAAGCCCTGGGATAAATTTCTTGTAAAGAGAAGGAGTTTCATTCAGTGGAGATTGCCAAGGTTAGTAAGGGGATAGGTACACATAGTGTCACGAAAATTCGCAACCGGCCCATGCCAACCAAGGAAAGAGGCTTGGACATGATGGAGAGAAATCCAAGAGAAACAGTCCCAGACAAACTGGGGCACCTCAGATATGGTTTTACACAGATGTCATTTATACCCTTCAAACATTCAGATACAACATGATGTTGGCATTATCTTGGTTCTTCAGGGATATGTTTTATCCTTCACGGACAGCTCTAAGCTTCCAAGAAGCAAAGTCCTTATTTTTCCAGGGCCAGGCAATACTTTAGTTTGTTATATTCATGCATGAAAATTGCCAAAGTCTCCAGTACAATTCCACTACCTCATTACATTACAGTGTATAATGTCAACTAATATACATATTAACAAAGTTAAAACACTTTCATACTACAAAGACTCATTGCTCTATAGTTAGCGAAGGAAATTTTCATAACAATAGCTATATTGATCTTGCTTTCAGGGAGACGAATGGATTGAAAGTCCTTTTTCTAAGTGGAAAAAAGAAAACCACCTCCAGCTTTCTCTGGGGTAGAACATACTCGTAAGTACAAAAGCAAGCTGTACATTGTCTGTCTTTCGTATTTTGCCTTCTGTAATAATTTAGATAGTCATTTTTCCTGTGTGCAAACTGCAGCTCTCTAGCAGTATCTGGCACTGTCTGGCTTCTAGTGTGGCCCAGCTACAGCCCCAGCATTTCCCAGACAAGCATCAGCTCATCCTATAATATGTGGAACGGAGAATAAGCCTTAATTTACGGGAGACTACAACATTAAAATGACTGGGAACACGAAGGAAGAAAACCATCAGGCTTTAACAGTGAATAGATTTCGAGATGTGCTTGTCATTTTCATTACTTCAATCTTTTCCTGGTGCAACACTGCAGACTCCATCTTCATTCATTTGGGACGTGGGCTAAATAATTATACTGAGTTGTGTGTGTTCTCATCCATGCCTTGAGCATTCAGTAATACGGCAGGTATTGGTGAGGAGTGCCTGAAGTTCTCTGGAAGGCATTAACATCTCTGGAAACACAAGACTGAGCATGAAATGAACTACAGCACTGCAGGCTTGAATGCAGCACAGAGCACTCATAAGAATAAAGGCTTCATTTGGAATCATACAAATTTGGGGGGGGCACATGTTGCACCCTCGAGACACTGTAGGGATAGCTTGTGATTCAAAAATATTGTGCGTTTTAATGAAACCCAAAGGAAACTTGGATCCTTCAAAAGCAGGGGAAATTTTAAAGCCAGCATTCTCATTACCACACTCACCAATTAATCCTCCTTATGCACCCAGCAGAGCACAAGGTGGACAGTCATGCTTGCACTTTTTCTTCTTTCAGTCAATTTAGGTTTGCAGCAGTCTCCAAAACAAATACCAGAGTGTATCTGACCACAACCTCCATCTGCTCAACCTGTAACCTTCATGATTTTAGCTCCATCACGCAGTATTTCCATAGCCTTGTTTGTCTTTCTCAAAACCTGCCCCAAGATGGCACCTCTGAATAGCTGTCAGAGAGGAGAAAACAGGAATGAATGTGCTTCATACTCATCCTCCAAAGTGGCTGTTTTAAACTGTATCAGGCATCAAACCAACCCTGTGCAGTGAGGAAGGGTGTAGTTATTATTCTTGAACAGCAGCAGTGTGCCATGAATAACTCAGCTAGACTCAGAACTGTGATGGGATCCTGGAAGCATCTAAGTCAACCCAAAATTCCTAACTGCTTAAACAGAACCAACATCTGGACCATATGTAGAGATTTTCACATGCAGGAGCATGGGTTCAGATGCAATAATCCAAAACATTAAGCCCATCTAGATTCAGATCACTTTTCCTCCTCCATTTCCGAGCAGAGATTTTTCTGCATTGTATCTGCAATGTTGAAATTCTGTTAAGAGCTGTTGTTATAGCACAGCCTTCCTCATCCATGGGCAAATAAATACTTGGGGCTTGGAGGTAAAATCAAGAGCAGCAGAAGTGGAAGGTATATGCAAGAAGATGTCAATGTGGGCAGCTTACATGTAAAGAAAGATTGGTCTGTGGGTAGAGTCTGCCCTGTAGCCTCCACGGGAAGCAAGAATTACAGAATTTTCAGGTTTTGTATATTGGGATGTGTGTATCAGTGTTGCCTGGGGAAATGCTCTGTATTTACACCTGTATATTCACACCTGTATCATCATCTTAATTGACTCTCCAGAATTACTTAACTTTTTTTTTCTAAAACTTTGCTCCAAATATTTTTTTTATATTCATTCCACTTAAACCCAAGAAACCAAAAGCATTTTTAACCTTTCGCTTTTCTAGGCTCCAGAACGATTTTTCCTATGCTAGATGTTGTCATACTGTAAATAATCAATGCAGCACAGAAATCCATAAAGATAACGTCATCTGCAGGTCTTTATTTTATCCCAGTGTATAAATTATTCTTGGAAAGACAGGAGTGGAAATGACAACCTACTTCTTTCAGGCATCCCACAGCCAAATGAGCTGCTCTCTTCTCCCTCTCTGAAATGCAGGATGCTGTTAGCTTCATCCTGTTAGTGCAATATTAACACTGTGTTATCGAGGCAGGAAGCACGGTGGGCAAACGTGGGCATCTTACAGATAACGCCTGCTGGGATATTTAGGCTTATCTTGCAGCCCCACTTCCCTGCTACGGTGCCAACCCGAGGGCTGGCTGCATTGACCAGGGAGATGCAAGCCCCTCGGAAACACAGAATCACAGAATCTTCTAGGTTGGAAGGGACCTTAAAGATCATCTTGTCCAACCGTCAACCTAACTGACAAAAATAGACACCCACACAACAAACAAGGAGCATCATCACTAAACCATACCTCCCAGCACTACATCAGCCCGTCTTTTGAACACCTCCAGGGATGGGGCCTCAACCACCTCCCTGGGCAGCCCATTCCAATGGCTGAGAACCCTTTCAGTGAAAAAATTTTTCCTAATATCCAGCCTGAACCTCCCCTGGCGCAACTTGAGGCCATTTCCTTTTGTCCTGTCGCCTGTGACTTGAGAGAAGAGACAGACCCCCATCTCTCTACACCCTCCTTTCAGGGAGTTGGAGAGAGCAACACGGAGAGGTTCAGACACATTAAACTCTCATCCAGCAGGAGGAACGCCGCTGTTATTAAATGCATTTATTATTTACATAACTGCAGCCTCCAGATGCCCCAGTTAGCGCAACAACGAGTTACTTAATGTGGAGATCTCTCCCGGGAGTAGTTTATTATCTTAGCAATTCCTCCTCCTTTTTCCAAAATAAAAGCTCCTCGCTGGTCAGCCTCCTCACTCCTCTCACTCCAACAGGCAGTGGGAGGAAATTACTTGCTCTGCCTATCTGCTTTTTCCCCATGCCTCTGCTTCTTTTCACAGTTTCCTGCATCCTGAAATAGCATGGAGACATCCCACCTTGTCTTTGATGAGTGATGGTAAAACTAGAGAAGGATGAAATAAAATCCCTCCCAACCAGGTATGTCAGCCCCATCTTCCCACCAGCATCACAGGGCTTCCAAGCTCTCCATGGCCAAGGCCAAGTCAAAGGACCACTAGTCACCTCCAGGTGGAAGGCAGAAAGCAGGATGAGGGGTTGAAGGAGGAATTAATGGCAAAGATACTTCACAAGAACGAATTTCTGCACATGCTGCTTGCTGCTACTGCAGCTTCCATTTGCTGGCTCCTTCTTCTTGTTCCTATAGGGAAAAAATAACTCCTTTGTGAACTTGTGCCCAGACCAAAAAAGGGAGTAATGGTTATGAGAAAATGAATATTGAGAATTAGATGCAGAGGAAGAACACTCTTTGATGATTAGATGGCCACTAGTATATAAACCATGTGTATTGGCAAAAAAAAACATGCTGGACAGTAAACAGTAAGGATGAGGTTTTAGTCATGCCACTAATTCAGAACAGAACAAACCAACTAGATAATTACAAAACAAACCCAAAAAATGCCAGACAATAGTGGCAAGTTACCCAGCACTCGCTGCAGAGAGCAATAGTAATTTGCACAGTAACAGAGCCGTTCATCCTGGATATATTTTTCACTCTCCTGTATCTCACAGGACACAGCTAAACCACACAAAATGCCTGGCACCTGCACTTCCCAGTGAGGATTTTGCACTGATGTGATCCTTGCATGCAGAACTGATCCCTGGCACCCTGTACTATCTTGTCCTACTATCACTAAATGGATCTGATCTAAGGCGCTGATGGCTCTGGTTACCCACCTTTGAGGGTTGGCCATCAAATCTGGACATCACACAGCAGCAGGGGAAGAAGTTCCCATGTTCAGGTAGCAGTCGCTGCTCAACAACCCTCCTCGGTCAGACCACACAGGCCTAAAGATGCAAATACATCTCAAAACATGAAACCTTGCATCACCACTTAGCTTGTAAATGGCAAGAGATGCGAATCAGGCCACGTAACTAATCGACCTCACCCAGGAGAGGGACAAAAGGGATGCTTTCCACTTGGAATCTAGCAATTCTTTAAAAAGTTGTTTGCTATCATGGCAATTGCCCCTGCAAATTGTCTCACTTTGGTGCGTGCATTCTCACCCCGAGAATTAAACAACGTTCCTGTTGATCTTTACAAAAGAAGTGGCCTTCTAGAGTGCAAAACACAAGGACTTGTTGCTCAAGCTGCTTCTAGAAGGCAAAAAAAAAGGAGAAATATGATAGATTAGACAAGAAGCATTCAAGGCTATCAAAAAAACAAATATTAAAAATTATTGTTCAAACTATTTTCAGGCAGACAAAACACAGAGCTGCTTTTTGCGCATATTAAAACAACAAAAGAATATTTTATATATGGAGAGCATACGGCAATCAAACAGGTTTAGAAGTGTCAACCATCAAAAGAGAGACATTGACAACATAGTAGAGCAAAAATGTTGCAGCCAAGGTGGTTTTAAGCATAAGGAATCTATTGGCTTGTGTAACACAAGATACCTCCTCTGCTAAAAACCTTCCCAAACTGTGTATTGAGTCAGTGCTTTAAGACCACTTTTTCACCTAAAATGAGCAAGAGCTCGAGAAATGGTGCTGTGTGAGTGGAAAAAAGTCACTGTGCAGAAATTACTGTCTTTTAAGGGTCTGCTTTTGATCATCAGATGGGAAATAAAAAGAGGGAAGGATAAGAGAGTGGGAAATCAATGACTGTTTTCTTCTTTCTAGCACAACGTCAAATCACTATTTCCAGTACCTGTTAGATTGGGAACAGACATCAAAAGGCTAAAAGTGTAATTAGCCTGTGAGAGAGGGGGAAAAAAAAGTATTATTTTCCAGCTGTCTGACTTCACAAACATGAACTAAACTGCTTTCTATTCAACTCGGCCACACACCTCAAGCAAACTTTCTGGTGAGATCATTCACAACTTGGGGAGTATCATACGTAACTGCTCTCCCTCCCGAAACAGGGATTAGAAGTTAACTAAAGCTAAGGGCTAAGGGGAGAGGAGGAGAGAAGAAACAACCAATACTCCCACAAAGAAATCAAATCAGTATGCAGGAGAATAAAATGTGCTAGTGGAAAAGTGCAGAGGAACGCTTGAGAGCCATCACAGTAAACACATTCCATGTCATGCTTCAGGTGATAAAGCAGTCCCACAGGGACAACCCTTTTTTTTTTTTTTTCCCTCCAAATCATGACATATTCATATCTTCAATGAGATAATTCTCAAGTAGAACAGATTGAGGGACCACATCTTCTACTGCTTCCCCCCCCAGTGCCACATCGTTGCCAGCTCACCTAGAGAAAGATCACTAACTCTCCTGATTTCCAAGCACAGAATGGTTTGGGTTGGAAGGGACCTTTAAAGGTCCTCTACTCCAACCCCCTGCAATGAGCAGGGACATCTTCAACTAGACCAGGTTGCTCAGAGCACCTTCCAACCTGGCCTTGGATGTTTCCAGGGATGAGGCATCTACCACCTCTCTGGGCAACCTGGGCTTGGGTCTCACCACCCTCAGTGTAAAAAATGTCTTCCTTACATCCAGTCTGAATCTACCCTCTTTCAGTGTAAAACCATTGCCCCTTGTCCTGTCCAACAGCTCCCTAAAGCAATTCATCACTCTGCCAACACTAATGGACTACACATGGCACCCATCTCCAGAGAAGGAGAGAATTCTCCTTGTACTTTCTGAGAGTGGATGGGAAGCGCAAATGCATCTCACACAGAAACAAGGAGTTATATCCAGCTGTAAATGACATGTCAATAATTAACCACACTCACCACATGTTCCTTTTTGACTTTTTTTATTAATCAAAGACAGCACGACTTCCCTATTTCGAGTGATCAGAGCGATCCCAGGATGGTTTCACAGCTCAGCTAAGCTTAACCAAAAGATACATCGGCAGAACACATCACGGATTTGGCGTGACACCCTTGGTTATGACTGGGTGATGTGACTGGTGTCACTGGCACCCCGCAGAGCACAAGCTCAGAAAGAGAATATGCCATTGGCAACGGGCCACGACTCTTGCAGGGACGTGCCAAGTGCTCCAGGAGAGAAAAAAGGAGAATCTGACATTGTACCTGACTGCGAGGGTGCCCAAGTACTGGAGAAGTCTCAAAGGTCCATCTCCACCGCTGAGGCAGAGCAACGAACAGAATATTTCAGCTCCAGACCTCTCACGCATACAAACCAAGCGGGTTTTATACATGCTATATAATACACATATATTTTGTATCGGCGTTTATAGAGTCGCGTAAAAGTAAAAATATAAACTTCTGCAAGGTTTTGTTTAATACTCTTAGGTAGAAGCTCGAAGGGTTAAGTTTACACGGCACTGTTTCCCAACAAAAAAACCAAGAAGCTAACTGTGGGAAAACAATCTAGACGTGCCATTTCAATTCCTTAGCGTTTTATAAACTATTTCCAGTATAACAATAAATACTCAGTGCAAAGCACATGCTTAGTTAAAATCCTAGGCATGGACAAAGCATAAGGGAGAAAAAAAAAAGCTTGCAAAAGAAGCTAGCATGTGTTGTCTGTGTGCTCACAGAAATATAAAAAGAGGCAAAAGTGTTCCTCACTTATATAGCATTGTTTTAGTTTAAGAAATGTAGATGTTTTCTCTCGAAATAACAGTACTTACAAGGTTATATCATTGGCTTGTAAAAAGAAAAAAAAAATAATTACAGAGATGGGAACAAAGACTCTACAACACTTGAAACTAAGTATTTCCATACTCATCAAACCAATATTTCCAAACTCACCAAAAAAACCCCACAGATATCCCAACCAAAACCAATCACCATTTATGGGATGGTAAGAAATGATAGTTTTCCAGCATAAAACCTGGAGTATTCCTTCCCTTCCACATCACCCACTGAAGTTTGCCCAGGTTCTCCACAAAATAACACTACTTCTTAAATTCTTTTCCCCATGAGCATGGCAGATCAAAATGCCTGAATTCCCCATAACTGGCAACAATATACATCTCCTTCCCATGACTGGAGACAGTGATTTAACAGATAGAACCTTAGCAAACAGAATTTAAAACTAAAAGGGAATGTTTCAGCCCACAGTTAGAAACTGAAAATGCGAGAAGTACAATTCAGAAAAGAGTTAATGATTTTGTATTAATTTCAGCTCGACAGTAGGGCATACAAATGAGGATTGTTACAGAAGCATCCATAACATGGTCACCGCAGAGGCAAGAGTGAGGGCTGCTTTGTTAACCCCAGTAATTGCACCCCCATTGCACAGGTCGTGTTGGCAGCAAAAGAATTCAAAATTATCCAACTGGAAGTATTCAGCAATATCATTCACGCTGCACTGGGATGCCTTCCAGCAGGCAGAAGTTCTCAATTTACCTACAAAAAAAGAAAATTAAATGGATTAAGACACTATTGAAAGTAATACCATTTTTGGTACGAAGAGAGAATCACTGCCTAGACTCCCGCGTACTTGCTTTTTTAGCTTCAAGTGGTTAGACGTTTCCAAATTTGCCTTCACTAAGAATTTCAGAGTGTGAATATTGAGAGCAAGCCATGGTCCTGCCTCCACAACACTCTCCTGTAGGTCTTGGACATAGGTTAAGAAAGATTTCTAGCTCAAGCTAACCAGTGCTTCCAGTTCAGTCCAAATGACTCACTGGGAGATGCAGGGTAGAGCTTGATGACACCCATTCTCGTGACAGAGAAGGACAGTGTGTCATCATCTTGCTCAACTTGCACTGCTCTTGCATTGTCCTACCGCATGACCATTCTCCTTCAACAATGCCCAGAGCAAGTCCAGTAACTCAAGGAAGTCTTTGTGTTGAGAACCAGACCCATCAGACTTGACCAGCCCCATTTCCAGAAGCAGTATGGAGAAGACAGAGCTTGAAGAGAAGACTAGTCCTCCCCTTTTCTTGCTTACAGAACCACATGGGGTTGGAAGGGACCCCTGGAGATCATCTAGTCCAACCCCCTGCCAGAGCACGTCCACCCAGAGCAGGTTGCACAGGAAACGTGTCCAGGCAGGTTTTGAATGTCTCCAGAGAAGGAGACTCCACCACCTCTCTGAGCAGCCTCTGCCAGGGCTTTGCCACCCTCACAGGAAAGAAGTTCCTCCTCATGTTTAGGTGGAGCTTCTTATATTCAAGTTTGTGCCCGTTGCCTCTTGTCCTGTCCCTGGGCACCACTGAAAAGCCTGGCCCCATCCTCCTGACACCCACCCGTTAAGTATCTATAGGTGTTGATCAGATCCCCCCTCAGCCTTCTCATCTCCAGACTAAAAAGACCCAAGTCCCTCAGCCTTCCCTCGTAAGAGGGATGCTCCAGGCCCCTCATCATCTTTGTAGCCCTCTGCTGTCCCCACTCCACCAGTTGCCTGTCCTTCTGGAACTGAAGAGCCCAGAACTGGACACAGTGCTCCAGATGGGGCCTCCCCAGGGGCTAATTCCCCTGGACACCAGAGATCAAACACCTTGGCTTCCATCTTCCTGAGCTTGACACCTCAAACACTGAATTCCCGACTCTGACAAGGGACAGCCACCATAGGCTGCATGCTAGAAAGCCTACAGTTTGTGCTCATGAAAGTTTAGGCTCAAGGGAAATAGCAAAAGGAAAATTCCTTAGGATGCAATCATCCTGGTCCAGCAGCATTAGAAGCTTTCCTTCCTCCACGCCAAGTCATGAGCTTTAGCATGGACCATTCTGGGGAACAGAGCAGCCCCATCCCATCCTGGTTCCCGCTGTCCAAACCCAGCCCAAAAGCCTTTCTAGGGTGAGGGAACCAGCTGGGAAAGCAGGAGATTATTCCAGTTGACCTGGTATTTCTATTTTTCCAGTGAAACTCCTCTCTCATAGTAAAGAATTACTGAAATGTTAATTAACAACTGGAATAGTAACAGAACAACTAGACAGTGCCTTGAATATCCTTGACCATATTCCTGAGATGCAGGTGACTTCAGCCCCAAGAAAAGTCTGTTTTAATAGTGTCAATTCATAAAACTATCAAGTCCTCACCTGCAGGTTTATTTTGTGTGCTACACATGCTTTATCTGTTTTTAAAGTGTAACAAACCCGGGGCAAAGGCTTTGTATTTTAAAGTCATTGCTGCCTCCTATTTTTTCCAGCTCCCTTGGATGGTGGGGTTTTGTTGTTGCTTTGTTTTTTGGTTTTTTTTTTTTTAAATCTGGATACACAGATCCCTGTGCATAAGCTTGTACAAGTATAAATCAGCAATCTAAATCATCATTATCTTGATCAGCTGCTTGGAATTCAAAATATATCACTTTACTATAAGCATGACCTTCAAAAGTATCTGCAACCTTCTGGGTGAGGCTAAGAAATGTGTGCTAAGGCCAGATTAGAAGCGTAGGGGCCGTGAAAACTGATATAACCCTGTTTATTTTCGGTCTGCGGGACAGCACACATACCAAATTTCAACTGCAAGCAAGTATCTTCATTCGGTAAGCAAGTGCTGTTGCTCTTGCACAAGGTAGGGCTGTTGTCGCAGTGGTAACACCTCAGGGCATAACCTAAGAAGAAAGGAATTTTATCTTTACCATATAACAAAGTACTGAAACAGAAGCAGCATGGAAATGGAGAAAAAGACGACTCACCACCTGCATCTCACTGCCACAAACCACACGCCTGGTCATTAGACTCAAGCTAAGATTTACAAGCATTTGTCGGGGCAAAAATAGAGACTGGTAATTTTGAAAGAAAGATTTTTGAAGCACTTACTTCTGTCATTTTTTAAAACCTTTACCTTCATGCCCCTGCGGAATAACGCATGACACGTTTTGCTGCTTTCATCTCCCCTGAAAGACTGCCTCTTTCCAAAAGGACAGACAACGAGGGACACTTTGAGCAGAAGCTTATTCTGTCCCTTTTTGTACTTCATCTCCTTTCTCTCTCATGCTACACTCCTGGTTCCCAATTTAGACGAGAGGGCAACGAGGGACACTTTCAGCAGAAGCTTATTCTGTCCCTTTTTTAACTTCATCTCATTTCTCTCTCGTGCTACACGCCTGGTTCCCAATTTACACGAGAGGAACCCGACCTTCCAGCAGCAAACCAGGAGAGTCAGTTGCCAGATCCAGACATCCAGCAGCATCATATTCCCCACCCGATTCCTTCTGCCCAAAGACAATCACCAACAGGAACCAAGCTGATGGTCACTGTCATCTCCCAAAGTGGCATTAAATAATCCAGGCCTTTCTTGTTATTTTTCCTTTTCTGACCTTTTTTTTTCCCCCCCGATTTCCTCAGCCCCTGTCATAACATTCCATCGGGAAAGCAGCTCTTTTATACTCACCAGAACTACAAAAAGCAACCAGAACCAGGCAGGCGGATAACAGGATGCAGTTCATCTTGATCATGCTTCTTTCCTAATTGGGAGGCATAAACAGATATATATTATATGTCTATTCAATTTAAAAGCTACATGAAACCAGCAACATCTATGGTGAAGAATCGAGGCTTCAAGACTAGATTCAGTAGGGAACCAAAAGCCTTGGCCACAAAAAACAGTGAAAGAGAAGAGAGAAGACTAACAGCACTTTCTGAGAGAGAATTTTTATTCTGAGAACAGGGGTTTTTATTCTGAGAACTGAGATTTGAGCCCTGACAGGCTGCAGATAGGTCTCTTTTCTCCCCTCTGATTACACCATTCAACAGGTCTCTCTATTTCCCACAGCTACAAATGCACCTGACAAAAAGAGAGGCCATTTAGGTCTGGGATGCTTTTTCTTCTACAGCAATAACCCTGGAGCCAGGCCGTGCTCCTTTCTTCTCTCTCATGGGGTTGCAAGAGATTTTGCCTGCACTAAAGGGGGCTTTTCCCTCTCCTCTCCCCAAATTTCTCCCTCTCATTGAGGGACCAACACATGCAATAACGCCCAAGTAACTGCAGTGATGGCTCGAGTCCTCCAGGATTACTGCAACCCAGGGGTAGCACTGAGATGGGAAGCTCAGGATTATTTTTTTTAACGTAGGCAGCTCCAAAGCAGGAGTTATGAGATCAATTTCTGCCCACGACCTGAACTACAAACAATAATATCTACTACTAAAAAAAAATCTCTGCTATTGCAGGGAGTGGGCTATTCAGACGAGGTACCAAGCAAAGAGGGCCCAGATTGTGCTAAGGGGGCACGACTGCATGTTTGTCTTCAAAGCCCAAGTGGAATTGTAAATTCCAAAGAATTAAAGGCATCCAGATAACAAGTTTTACTTACGATAAGGCTGCAGGGAAACAGGGAAACTACTCTGCCCTGGGGAGGCCCCAGCTGGAGCACTGGGACCAGTTCTGGGCTCCCCAGTTAAAGAAGGACAGGGAACTGCTGGAGAGGGGACAGCAGAGGCTACAAAGATGATGAGGGGCCTGGAGCATCTCTCTTATGAGGAGAGGCTGAGGGACTTGGGTCTTTTTAGTCTGGAGAAGAGAAGGCTGAGGGGGGATCTGATCAACACCTATAAATACTGAAAGGGTGGGTGTCAGGAGGATGGGGCCAGGCTTTTTTCAGTGGTGCCCAGGGACAGGACAAGAGGAAATGGGCACAAACTTGAATATAAGGAACTTCCTTCCTGTGAGGGTGGCAGAGCCCTGAACAGGCTGCCCAGAGGAGTGGTAGAGTCTTCTTCTCTAGAGACATCCCAATTCCCCTGGACACGTTCCTGTGGGACCTGCTCTGGGTGGCCCTGCTCTGGCAGGGGGTTGGAGGAGATGATCTCCAGAGGTCCCTTCCAACCCCATGTCATTCTGTGATTCACATCACTGCTCTTGAGCCTGTTAACACTACTTGAAGCTATTCCTATGTGCAGCCAAGAGTATGGCAGACCATAATCACACTGGGAAGAATTTTTTTTCCTCCCAGAAGACTGACTGTGGATTTGAAAAGCCCTTTTCATGCTAAACCAATACTGAAATCCTTCTCAAACTTAAGTCTGGTTAATTTTTCTACTGGGAAAAAAAAAAAAAAAAAAAATCAACACAAAGCCCCACTATTTTTTTTCCTGACTGTATGAACGACTGTTGAGCAGGAAAACGAAGTAAAAACAGGCTCATAATGTGCAGAACAAGACGAATTTCTGAAGTAAACAACTTTGTGAGAAGCCTTTCAAGACCAGAGGCTCACCCCACGGTGACGTGAAGCTGTAGGAGCGCCGTTAATCTGGTGGTTAAAGCAAAAAACCATTCCGGACAGCAAGAAGAACCTCCCTGGCAACCTCTCCATCTTCCAGGAGCCCTCCCTCCCTCCCACAAGGTTGTTGGCAGAGCAAAACAGTTTGGCCTTTTAGTAAAATCAAGTCATGACCAGAATAAATATAAGGCAGGTTAATAAATATCATTGTAGCTTTGACAACAGTCATTCAACAAATCTATTTTTGTGTAAATGAGTCATTTTATTATTTTTTTCCCTGCACTCCTGAATGACGAAGAGGTGAGACGACAGGAAAATTTTAGCTTTTTAAAAAAAAAAAAAACTCCCATTAAGTTACAGCCAGCAATTCACAACGTGGTTTGGAAAAAAGAAAGCAAAGAACAGCTGCTGAACTGAATTTTCTAAATCGCTGTTTTAACCAAAGCATCTGAGCAACCTCAGTAACCAAAAAAAAAAAGATAAAAAAAAATTAAAAAAAATAGTAAGGAGAGCTTTTTTTTTGCCTTGGTTGTGAAAGAGGAGAATTTCTCCGCAGTCCCACCTGGGAGAGCCCACGGACAAGAGGAGGCTGCTACCTCCATCACATCCTCCGAGTGGAAAAGAGGCAGGAAAAGGGTAATTGGGCCCGGGAGCCCCGATCCTGCGGGGACCGGGATATTTTACCAGCCGCTTTAGGGTGCCCCCACCTTTTTTACCCGTAGCCGAGACGCCCCCCCGGGTGGTGGGGATGCGGCGGTGGCTCCGGGATGGGGTTGGGG